TTTTTGCTGGACTATATATATATATAATCATTCCGAAAGAAAAGAATCATCTCGATTTTCTTCCATACTTCCATAAAAGGGTAGCCGGTTACCCCACGGTCAGTAATGCAGGTTGGGGGTCGGACGGAAAATAGTGTGCTACATGCTGTGCACGTAATAGATCTCTCGATAGTTGGAAATCAAAAAAATGAGTAGGTTAATGCCGTTCTTCTGTCAATTTTCCCCATTCCTCACTGCATGGCATTTTCTGTTTTCATTATCAAAATAAGGTGCAAGTGAGTAGGACGTAGAACTGTTTTTTCCAGTATCGCGATATCGGTCTATACAATAAATATATATACAATTTATATTATATATAATATACTAACCATGGCGGGGTCAATCAACACCTGGCTGATTACCGTTTCAATTAAACCATATTTTATACCTCGTGAAAGCTTAAACCTTGAACTTTATAATGAGATAATCAGTCCAATTTGAGTATACTCTATTAGTATTTATTCAGGCAATGGTTATATTCAATGAATAATTTCCTAGGTGTATCCGAATGATTTTGAATTGTCAATTGATAATTTGCTATAATTATCGACAAAGATTTTCAATAAAAATAAAGAAAAATCTCAATCGATTTTAGGCCCACCCTATGTTGTTTTAAAGACTAAATATAGGCTATAAGATGATAGAGGAAAGGGTATCTGTGAACAGATGCAGTGGTCTATCAAAATACCACGTACTTCAAAATGAACATTCTTTTCTTTTCTTAGTTTTGGAGAAAGTATAACGGCTCTTGCAGTTCCCAACACGACCAAGCCCTTGCAATAACTTCATCTGTTTCGCATCTTTGAAATTAGATGCAGAAATCCCGGGCTTTGATTGAGGGGCGTAAAGAGAGCTATCTAATAGTACTTCCGGTTTATATAATGGCATCTTGATATTGACCGTAAATCCCTAAAGTCTGACATACAGCCCCGGACTAATCTATCTAAATTGACCTATACCTAACCTAACCCTACAACAAGCTTTGGTAGATCTAGTAATATCTTGCAGGCACCGAAACCTATGGCCAGTACGTGCCTCCGATCTTTCTACAACGTACCATCTTATTGACTGTATTAGACCACACCTTATTCAAATACTACGTGAAATAGTTTCCGGACATTTGCGTTTGAGATCTAACGTCGGTATAAGATTTATCTGCTAGAAGTGCACTGAAAGAGACTTTGATTTGTAAAAGAGACGAGCTAAGGCTAATGCATAATTCATTACCATTTTCGTATCACGTGCATTCTAATGCTTGACCTTTAATAACGTCAATTACAAATAAAGTCAATAAATATCCTTCTAGAATACAGTATAAATATTCATAATATTGTTTATTAAAGCACACCCTTCCAACACAGGTGTTCGACAAATTTGACTCGTCAAACCGACACTAATTGGTATAAGAAATAAGAACAGAATAATAGGCTGGTATAATTTATAATCATATTCAAATGCCAAGGCAATTAGTTTTATTAAAACAAAATGTCCAACCTCAGATTTTAGATTTCTGTTTACGCCGCACCTGAACAAATTATAACTAACTTCAGATCTCTATAGAGTTATATACTTATATCATATTTTTATATTTCTTCATATTTGTTTGTTTAATTTCTCACTTTAATTAGCACGTGTGAAGAAACGTGAAAAATGCATTAAAATTTAGCCGAGGCACGTGTTAAACACAGGAGAGAAAAATTTCTCTGCATTATCTGTTAAGAAAAGATTACACTTGAACGGAATGAAGTCCTACATCCTACTTGTTTGCTCTTGATTGGGTTAAAGTTAACGAAGACAGGCGTGTATCGAGAAAACTGTGTTGCGACAACGACACTAGCATATTTTTTTTTATTTATGATCTAATTGCCACCAAAACCTGCTTTGCTGCCTGGCCTGCATCACTCATTCACAGAAGCGACTTTTCTGGGATTTCACCCAAGGAGAGCGACCTGCTGAACTGGATTAATTAATTGTGTTTGGTTGGGTTAGAAAAAAGTCAAAAATTTGCTCAATTTATTCATTACGGTTAAATCGGTTTGCGTAGTTGAATGGATGTGATTTGAATCAACTCAATTCGCGAACAATCATATTCACAACCCTAACGTATTTTCTAAAATAGAATTATCAACAAGAATTTAAACTATGTAGAATGATATTGAGGTTAATTTAACTTATTGAGAGTTGTTCATGGAAGAATTATAATATATAAATACTATTAAAAACATAATAAACACCCTTTCTATTGGGAAATAAAGGTGTTTTTAAGATCGACTATCATGCTTTGTCAAATGATAATATCAAATCTAAAACATCAACAGCAGTTTCTAAAATATTTTGTTTTTTACAGTGACATATTTGCAGTACAAATATTACAGTACCAGCAACACTTTTTATGGTTTAACGGATTCTCTTGCAAGAAAACGGGAAATTAAAAGAATGTATAGTTCTTAACTGAAGATAGTTTAAAGCCCCTTTTCCGTTCAGCAACCAACAAGGGTGTGTGTGTCGATAAGTCTGTGGGCGTATATTATGCGTTGGAAAGTTGCCTTCGGTCAGGCAGAGATGCTGTCTGGTGAGGAATGTTATGTTTGCCTCTTTCCATATTCGTCGTAATGCCAAATGTTAAAAAAAGTATCGGAAAGGGTGCACTTCTTGGCTACTATATGGGATCTTCACTCTACAGCATACGTCTTTTGTGTGTATCTTTAAGCACATTTCGACGCCTTTAAAGCATACACATATTTAATTCAATTATAATCCAATTACACAACTCAAAGCTTTTGAAAAAATCTGTTTGACACAATTATTATTACTATTTTTTTTTTATTGCGTGATGTTTTTTTGATTATCTTTTACGCCTCGAACAATAAGTCTACCCTTTTAGTGGTGAATAAATTGCTACTCTACTATGCTCCGTTAATTTGCCTCATATTGGCCAAATACATCGTCTCTTCCACACATCTGAAACTATTATATATTTTTAGCGTGTTTCGATTTAACAGATAGACATCGTAAATTAGATGGAGAAATGAAATGGAATTTTTCGTCCTACTTTGGGAATCTAAACGCCAAAAAAGGGCACAAAGACTCCACAATATGGAGACCGGGGCTCTATGCTCTCACGTATAAAATGAAATATAATCTGAATTACAGTCAGTGAAGGTTTCGTTGCAACATAGTAAACAGAAAACTGACTTTAGTCACGAAACCATTCGGCCGATGATTTTAACAACTTATACAGGTGTAAGATGTAAGCAATACTTGGTAATTTTAGCAAAAACATCCAAAATAAATCAGAATGCGGCTGTCGAAATAAAAATAGAGAATAAAGGAATTTAACAAGTGAAACGAGATTAAATGGATAGTTCAAAAGATATTTGAGCCGAGAACAATTTGTCTCAAATTAAAATAGCTTCATAAACATTCCTAATTTTAATTTGGTAAAATTATTCAATTCAAATATAACTGATGAAGAAACTGTATATTCGGACATTAAAATGTATTCTTGATTTGAAATGATAAGGACATCTTGTGTTTCAATCTTGAATAATAAATTCAATTCAGGGGGCGTAGCCATAATTAGGAATTATTGGTGTTTATCTCAAAAAATTCGCGTCAATAAGACTGTCAAAGCTATTCAAAATTTAGAAAAATAGCACTTCTATAGGATTGCTTTGACGAAATCCCAACGCCTCTGGGAATGCGCTTCTTTGTAAACTCTGGAATAATGTTCTCAAAATACCTTTCATGATTGCATTTCCGGCCATTTGTTGTGGAGATAGACAATAGCAGTATCTTATCCAGTGATCATTAGAGTTTCTTTAGTTGTCAGTATACGATAAACAAAGTCAGGTCTCCACGTAATGACCAAGCGTAGGCCTATCTTGCTCAGAATTCTAGAAATTGGAAACATCTGCAGACCAACGGCGATAGTGCCATTCAAGAAGCCCCAAGTAGACCTAAAGCGTTGCAAATGCATGTAGCTCAGACAAGACTTCTTAAATATATCCAACAAGAAAACCTTTAAATGAAAGGCCCTATTTCAGATGGTATATCAAGATCAGAACACCTGGGTTAGAATATGAGCTTGTATTAAATAATTTGATAAGTCTAGAAGATATTCTAGACCCTGTACATCTGTTAAATACATTACAAACGAGAATAAAAACTATTTTATTGCTTTATCATTATTTCCTTTTGTACAGGTGCATAGACAATTAAACACGACACGTTTTACTGGTAATTGAATCCGTATAAAACTCGGCTTACAAAATAGCTATACAATCCAATTGACGGGACGAATTATTTGAAGCAATACATGTACAAATGAATATTTTGTAATTTTGGTCGTATTATATGTAACTAGAGCCGCCCTGTTTGAAAATTACAAACCTTGATATTCCTTTTCCAAAAGGAACCAAGACTGCAGGCTTTTTCATTGGGCTTCTTAAAATTTTGAAGCAAAATTATTCAATACATGGTATTTATTTTAGGTTCAGTGTAGCTCGAAATTTAATTCAACTCGATCCTCGCCACCTAACCCTTTATCTCCAAGTGATTGAAAACAAAAATGACATATTCTAAATTTGATCTCTCAAAAATCAGGATTGTTCTTAATACTGTGTAAAGGGAGGAAACTCTAAATAAATAATTGTAATTTTCAGACAACAATTGACTTTCACGAATTTCAACATTGAGTCCAGTCAATTGTTCCCAAAGTTAACATTGGACTGTTCAGTTTCCATAGATCTACTCAGCGTGGAATGCGATCATACATTTTCTTTCAATATGCAGACATCGCATGTAGACGATAGTCTTACGGTTCTGTATTCCTCGGCAGTTAAAAGTCATCAAGAACTTCCGTTTACCTAATGTTTGTTTTGATTGGTTAATTTCTTGACAACATTGTGTTTGACTAATGAAATCATTTGTTTTACTTTCGCCCTGGTGAAAAGTCCATCATGGCGCCGAAGGTTTACTTATCGAAAGAAGTTTTGAGGGGATTTGACCAGTACAAGGTAACTATGGGTGAAGTTGACTTTTCATGCCAATCAAATTACATGTATACTGCAATACAGCGCTGGTGCTTGAATTTGCCCCATATTGTACAGCATTAACTTCACTATTTCTCACCGTCTACACCCTTCTTCTCTGGTGTCTGTGATTTGCCAACTTTAATTTCAATCATAAGAAGGGTATTCGTTCCTTAGCAAGTATAGCTAGTTTGGAACTGAGATTATGAGGTGTTTCGTGTCCATATTTGTGGAATAACGACAGTTTTAAATGTAGTTTGAAAAAAAGTGATATACAATAAGAAGAAAAGTGACATAAGTAAGCTAAGTAAGGCCAAAGCTAAATAAATACATAGCTCCATAGCACCAGTCCCAGTCGAGAATAAATATGCATGTCTTCGTTCTTTGGTTCATTGATTTCTCACGGAGTTCTCCATTATATTCATAATCTAGAAACAGCTAGAGTGAAAGAGTCGTGCCATTAGACTTGACATTTACATCTGTATATTTGACACTTAATTGACCTATTAGTATTAGATAAAATAGCCCCTATATATTAGTATAGTATTAGTATAGTAAGGTATATATAAGTGGGTGCAGTTACTGTTTTAGCATGAAAGGTTGCCTACTAGATAAAAATGTACCCACTGGCTTCTTAAAATTAAAAAAAAAACGAAAGAAAAATGTCAATATTATGCATGCTGTCAAAAGCAAAAATGGACAAAGATTAGGGTGCTCTTTTCTAAATTTGGTGCTTTGAAGTTTTTATCAGCTGCATGCTATAATTGTGTGTTTGTATGTGATTTACTATTCTTTTATATTACAGTACAGTTCAGTTGACACCAGTCCTGTTAGTAACTATATTACTCATCCTTTCTGGAACTGGGCAGTCAAGGTAAATTCTCTATTTTGTTATTCCTAACCTGAAAGAATGGTTCAATCCTGGTATAGGTCTAGATAATACTCTCAGATTTTCCAACCTGGCTGCCCCCTGTGAGTGATTCATGTAGGAGATTCTGACATGAATAAAAGCATCTTTTGTTACGATGATACAATTTTAATTGTTACATGGTACATCAAATAGTTTAAAATATCTTAGACCAAGCCAGAGAGATATGAGAAAAAAACTAAAAAATGCCATACTTCACGGAAAGCGGTAAAAAAATTGATGCATAAAAAAGTTTTAACCATATTGCAAACTTTGCTTTTTCTTGACATATTCCCCAGTAATAAATTAATATTGTGAATTTTTTTGTGTAAATTTTTATCTAGTAAAGGATTTGGCCAGACAATGTCTCCACGGCCCATGTGACTGTAGTATACCATATTTTATTTTCAGTTTGTTCCACTATGGGTAGCACCAAATGTATTAACTTTAACTGGTTTTATTCTGCTATTAGTAAACTTTGCTGTTATGACGTATTACGATGTAGATTTTACTGCTGCCACTGCTGAACAGTCTGTTCCACCAAAAATACCCAACTGGGTCTGGCTGTTTGGGGCCTTCAATAATTTTTTAGCTCATACTTTAGGTAAGTAACTAGAACGATTCTTAAATCAAATATAAAGAGTTTAAGCTGTCTAGCTTTATCAGTGGAATTAAAGCCAATATATTTTTTCGTTTACCTCAAAGCCCTACAACTTCCTTGAATTTAGAGAGTTGTCACTGAGCTGGTTTGGTTTTGTTTTTAGCTAAGCCAATTAAAGCCAGACTTATGCATCTGATCTGTCAAATTTCTCTTAGAGAAAAATTCATGTTCATTTATAGCTCAATCTTATTCTCGAAAACTGAACTCTAAGATGATTTATGTGTTCCATTTATCTGAAGGACCACTGTTTTTCTCAAAACTGATTAAAGTTTTTGAGAATAAGGTCTTAGTAAAGTATAAATCATTTAATTCAATTACATTTTGCATTTCAGATGGTATTGATGGTAAACAAGCCAGACGGACAGGAAGTAGTTCTCCATTAGGAGAGTTATTCGACCATGGTTTAGATAGTTGGGCTAGTGTATTACTACCAGTGGCGTTATATTCTATATTTGGCCGTGGTGCATATGGCCAGAATGTGTTAAGAGTATACTATATCGTTCTTGGTGTTCAGTTCTTTTTTTTATTGTCTCACTGGGAGAAATATAATACTGGGGTGTTGTTTTTACCCTGGGGATACGATATTAGTCAAATAGTAAGTAACAGTTTATTTGATTTCTTTTTAGGGTTAAATTAAACAGATCTAAATATTGATATATGACTACTGAGCAGTCAATCTAAGCTATCAGTATCACTTTGCAGAATGAGAATCCGATGTTCAGTTAACTAGTATAAAAATAATTCTATTAAGAAACCAAAGTAGTTATCCACAATCGATAAATCTTTTTTTGCTGTGATATGTTTTAAAATTGTATTTTTATTCTTATAAAGCAATACGTTCTAAATTTGATTCATGTAAAATTAGGAGTTCTAAATTCATGAAACTAAAATTGATGCATTATACATGAAGAGCTTACTTAATCAAATCTTGTTTGTTTATATTACAGGGCATGACAGGACTGTATGTCATTACCTATTTTTATGGTGTACAGTTCTGGATGTTTCGTGTGCCTTATTTAGATATAACTTCTGGTCAAATGTTTGAAATTTTAGTCCATTGTAAGTATTTTTTATCTTAGACGTTTGATTCACTGTGTCACAGTTTATCACATTCAACCTTGACAAATTTGTAGAACAGAATCGTTTATCCTACTAATTCTGACACTTTCCATTAAAAATATTTAGTTGTTGTAAGGCCCTTCACCAATACTAGTTTAAACTACTTACTTAACTATTAGGAAATATAAGTAAGATGTAAACATGACTGATTAGGTAATAAGAGAGACCAAGGTAGAATTTATTGACTTCAACAATCATTGTTCTTTTTTTCAGTGGGATTTTTTGTGTTGACTTTCCCTATAACATGTATTAATATATACAGGTAGGTTCTCCATTCAGCTATTTGTCTAAAAGTTTGCTTATGTAGTTGATAGAGCTCAAATGTGGTGAAAGCCTGTTCCTCAATCCTTCATGTAAATGAATTATGTTATACAATTTTTTCAATTATCTGTAAATTATCCAAATATTTACATTACCAGCTGATTATTCTAAATTTTAGCTATCTGTATAGCCATCTAAATGTTTACTTTTCATGATGACAGAACATGACAATGTATAGTCATCTAATTATTGCCTTATGGAGCACAAAATTAGCTATATGTAGAGCAGTTGTTTAGATATTTGCAGCTGTAGTTGTCTAAATGTTGACTTTAAAAGCTAAATTTCAACCATCAATAACCCTTCAGAACTTTATTCTAATATTTTGAAAGTGATAATTATTATGATTTCTAATTATTACAGGGCATATAGAGATAGAACTGGTAAAATGAGAAGTTTTAGTGAAGCAGTAAGACCATTAGTTTCAACTGTTTTATTATTTAGTTTATTTTTACTGTGGATACGTTACTCTCAATACGATATCCTAGAAAAACATCCTCGTCTATTTTACTGGACCACTGGAGCTGCTTTCTCTAATATTGCTGTAAGTATTTAATCTTTCCTTGGATCGTACTCTAGTGAATACAACCAATCAGAAACCCTCAATATGGCTGCACATATTACTTCTTATATGCATTGTGAACTAATGTTTTGATTTACAGAATAAAATTGATTATTTGATAAAAAAAATATCTTGATATTGTGAAGATAATCATCTACTTGATATCCATTTATTTTCTATTGAACTCTTCCACTCATACTTACTTTATACCAATATATAACTATATATATGTAGGATTGGACGAGCTGATTTTTAAAAGATTTTTTTTTCTTGCTTTTCAATTTATATTCAGCCTTGTACTGTGTCATTGGTTCACTTCACTGAGTGGGGTAGCCTACCTACCTGTGTCAAAATCAGTCCACCTGAACCTTTCTACTAGCTCTAACTCTAGATTGTAATTGTTATACATTTCAGTGTCGGTTAATAATAGCTCAGATGAGTAATACTAGGTGTGAATTATTAAATAATAGAGTTATTATATTGACTATGATAGTTGGTTTAGTATTTATAGTACCACAGCCTCAATATGAACTCTATTTATTATGGTCTTACTGTTTATATTCCTCTATCACTCATTTTATATATGGTGTTTTTGTGGTAAGTATTGCTTAACTTCTTAAATAACAAATTCCTGAATACTATTATAAGCCATTTGGAGCCTTTAAAAGAATGCTAATTAATAATCTTTTCTACCAGCTGGCTTTTGTCCAAAACCTCTTAGCATTGATCATTCTAGGATTATCCATACCCATTTGCAGCTGTGTCTACAGAATAATGAGGAGAGATGAACTATTCAAGGTCATCAGACTTTCAATTGCAGACCAAGATCAGAACCCACAACTACCATTTTCTCTTAATGACTGTGCTACAGGGTAGACAAGTTGCTACAGTAGGCCTACTATCCATGTCCTTCCAAATTTGTGCATGCTTTTTGTGAACAATGGTCATTTTGAATAACAGTACCCTTTCACTATAGTGTCTGCATTTATATAGACACAGCTTTATGGAACAACTATCACTGGTTAAAGTTTATGCAATGTTTCGATGTCGTCCTCATTCACATTATGTGGGAAATACGTCGAAACGTTGCATAAAACTTTAACCAGTGATTGTTGTTCCATAAAGCTGTGTCTATATATTGTACTCACAATTGCTAAATGCCATTCAAAGGCTTTACTGTCTGCATTTGTTTTTAACATTCTTTTTTTTTCAGGTGAGAGAAATGTGTGCCCATTTTAGAATCAATGCTTTTACAATAACACCCAAGAAGATCAAATAGATTGTTATTTATTTTAGGAATTTTTAAATTGAAGTCAGCTGATAATTCTAGTGATGGTTTTAGCTTTATGGTAGAAAGATATTTATATATAAGATTGTTGTTAGGTGACAGTACTCTAATGTATTCTAGCTCAGTTTACTATGTTGTAAGCGATGAAGATCATATTCAGCTATCTGTATCACTTATCAGACTGAGAATCTGTTCAGTGCACAATTTAATAGAAATTTATTGTTGTAATGCATGGAAGTGAATATAGATTGCTGAAATACAGGTATATCAGCTATTATTCTGAAGAGTGAATTCCTTTAAAATGAACCAAAATGAATTAATTTTTATGCCAGTTTTACAGTTTTCTAAGATATTTTTGTCTTCAAACAAATGGATTGGAATGAGTCGAATGGAATGAGTCAAATGGAATGAGTCGAATGGAATGAGTCAAATGGAATGAGTTGAATGGAATGAGTCAAATGGAATGAGTCAAATGGTATGAGTTGAATGGAATGAGTCAAATGGAATGAGTCAAATGGAATGAGTCAAATGGAATGAGTCAAATGGAATGAGTCAAATGTGAATATAAGTATATTATCAACATTATAATGATTAGTCTGCCTCTATTCCAGCTTCTGATGGATATTTTGACAGTTGTCAGCTGGAGTAGTGTCAGATGTTGTGGTCTATGTAATGGTATTTGGTAATATAGGATTTTGTTTCTATTACAAAACACATTGATAGTTGTTAAGACAAAATCTGTTGCTGTATATTTGCTGGAATATTTATTTATCAAAATCTTATGATAGTATGTTTCAGAGCTCCAATTTTACTTCTTCAATGCTTTGAAAAATTAATTTTTGTAAAACTGTTTGGTTATGAATATTACTTAGAAAGAGTACCATCAGTTGTAGTTAGGTGCCGTGGGTTTGAATCCTTATCTAGAGTGGAATAATTCTAATTTTTTGGCCGCTTCTTCCGAAAGCTGACCTAGTATTAACTTTCACTCCCTACCGTTAGATGTAATACTAAGTTAAAATACTTATAACCTGTGATACTAGTAAGCTAATGCAATAACTTTAGAAAACCTCTGTTACCAAGCATAAATCTGTCAGACTCGAAAAGGTTTTCCTTGGCACTTATAACCTTTGATGCTAGTACGCTAATGCAATATTTTTTTTTTTTGCCAAATGTAGGCTTGTCAAGTTTACAAAGCTTTTGTGAGTATTCCTTCCTGCATAAAAGTGTCACAAGCTCAAATAGAGTAACAAATCAAGCTCATTAATATCAATTCAGCTCAGTTATTTTTGTTATAAGGAAGCTCACAAAGTAAATGTTAGTAGGTCCAGTAGAATAAGTCTAAAGGTCTTAATATACCAGATATGACATGGCACAACACGATACAACAGATAAATAGAAACAACATTTTATAAACTATATAGACTATACATACTGAGTACCATAAAACATGTTAAGAAGTTCTCCAACACAACAAATAGGAATAGAAAAATGTATTTTTTCTGTTATGTCGTTCACATGGTTTTTGGTAAAAAATGGCAAAGCTGTCTATAAAAAAATAAACACGACTTCAAAAGTCGTGTTGTTTCGTACCTCGACGTGTTGTATCTGGTATATAAACCCCTTAAATGTTACTGACAAGGTGTGGCCAAATGCTGTAAAAGTGATTTATCAGTATGTACATGTAATCAGAAGGGACCAGTTAATGTATTCGCTTGATTTTTTTCCTGCCATGATAATTCTAGTTGTGCAGTTGAGATTTTAATTTATTTGAATGAATGTGTACAAGTTAATGGAGCTTGAATAGTTGATTTGGTAGTTTTTGTCAGTCATGTCTGACTATAGCTGTTGACTGCTGTTGATTTAGATGTATTTTCCAATCATGTTGACTGTTGATTTTACTATGTATACAAGTTACATCTTAGAACTCTAAGCTGTATGACTAGAGCTGTAGGCGTCAATATCAGTATATCATGTATTTACCAGTTAAGTCTGCGAAGCTGATTTCAGAGCACTTGTGGACAGCACATTTTTGTGGGCACTGCCATTTCAACGTTTGTGATTAGTTTAAGTTAATTTTAGTTGGGTAATAATATTGTGTATTGTATTTAGTTTGGTTGTGTGTAGATTATATTTTGATAATGAATTATGTGCCAAAGTAGTTTTAGTATTTTAGAATAATTGATTGGATATCTATGTAATAAACAGATTTTGAAATTTGTGTAAATAATAACAATGATGAATATGTAAGCGATGATAAGTGATAGGACAAGACCTCAGCATGTTTTACATGTACAATCTTCATTGGGTTGTTTGGCTTAGACATGGTGATGAACTCCCCAATATTAGGACATCAAGGCATCAACAAATGTGACCACGCACTTCGTATCAGGTATTAAGTTGCACTGCCCAGTAATAAGCTGGCAGTGAAGTATTAAAGGAGACTCAAATCTGGATATTAAATTGACTATATCTTCTGAACGGAGAAAGCTATTGAGATGGAATTGGTATCAAAATGTAGCTGATGATGCCAGGAATCCAAATATACTAATAGTTCTACATACACCAAATGCTACTTTACCTGGTTTGATGTGCAGGGTCACAAATAGCCTGTAATAAAGCAATTAACTTTAATCAATATTAAGCCATCACATAGTTTGAACAAAATGCTTGTAGCAAATTAAATAGTGTGGACATTTAGTTTCCTGCTTCTAACCAATGAATCTGCTTTCTTTGCTTTATTTAGTATAGTATGAAAACAAGCTCTTGTCAATGAAAGTTACTTGTTCAGTTGGTATAAGATATAATGTAAGCTTTTCAAACACTAATCATTAGGTCACACAAATAGACCAATAGGTAGTTACAGTGAAGAGTTGGGATTGTGTAGTCCAACAAAGACTATATCATATTTCTGTTTCATTTGGATCTGCTTACTGCTAAATGACTTTTTAAATGCAATTAACATAATCAAGCTCCTATGGCTGTTTTCTTTGTAATATTCGTGCATAGCATCTTTTAAGAACCACTATATATAATCTTCAACCACCATATTATTATAGGTAAAATTATTATTATATAAGAGAAAGATTGGCGAGGCGACCAGTTATCACTAGTTATCAGTGACCAGTTTCATACTCTTGTGACTCTTCAGACTGATCATAATTACCATTTTAATATAAGTTTATTCTGTATAGTTTCTATAACTATTTATTCTACATAGAAAATAAATCATGGACAGTCTATTTTATTTTAGGTAGTGTTAAGTAGTAATCAACACAATATAAGTTAACACAGTTAAATCTGTATAGTTTCTTGAAATATTTATTCTACCTAAAAAATAAAGTGGACTGCACGTGAATCACACCTGAATGAGCACAAATATCTAAGCTTGACTATACAGTAGATAATGTAGGCCTAGATCATGGGGCGATATTTTAATGTATGATATTGTTTTTATTATGTTTTAAAAGTTTTATAATACAACTGCTTGTCAATTATACAGTATTGTTGTCAAATATTATCTATTAATAAAAATATTCAATTTTATCTTTGTCTTTTCTGGAACCACCAGCTCTAACAATATGATTTTGTCTCCTAATGTGTCAAAATGCACCAAATCAATTCTATTTTTCAAAAATTTCTTGGTGGAGAAATCTCTCAGACGCACCGTGGGAGTGAGCCTTGCACCTATGCACTCCACAGAACTCCTGCATTTTAAATCTCTAACTCGACAGATATTGGCACTGCCGCCAGTTCTCAATTTCATATAAGAAACAAATGCCATCATTGTTATCCTGTCCGTCCGGTTGTTTCATATAGGTGAGGGGTATTTGAGATATTTTATGATGATTGTAAGTTTGCAATACTACAAATTACAAACTCTGTATGCCGTTACTACAGCAGTAGCACCGCCATCCTTTTGGAATTGGGGATACAAATATTGTCAGACTGATAGGGGAGGACAAATTCTGAAGACTCCAGCTCGAGGGTATGAGTGGGTTCTCATGTTAAAACTTCAACGTGCATAAAGAAAAAAAATCAACAGTTGTATTTCAGTAAGTTTATATACAATATGTACAAATCTAATTACAAAAATAACAAATGGAACTGGACATAAAAATAACAAACAATATTTAGTTTCTAGCATTTATAACTCATAACAAAACAACCATTTCATCAAAATATAAGCAGGTTTTCTAATCTGATGACACACAGGTTTAAGTATGTTTAGTCAAACTTCCATGATATGTCACTGTTTCTGTTAAAGGTATGTTACTGCTATAAATGTATAATGTTATTTCACACTATGAATATAGATTAACACCAGACATATTCTTCGCTATAGAGTTAATCTCTTATTTTCTGATTTTCTTCTCAAAGAATGGCAAACATTTTCCTTCAAGTGGGCCACTCATAATACTACAATCAATGGCTTAATTAGGCAGTAATTTTTAGGATATGCCCTCTTCCTTTCAGACAGTAAAAAATGAAATATTTATTCTACTTCCACTGTATTTTCTAATTCCCTCATTAGAAATATTTCTGACCCCTCCCCCACCACGATTAGAGCTCTCTAAAATCTGTCAAGGGACAGGGAACTTACATGACCTTGTCAATGAAATCCTCGCTACGCTACTGAATACAATCAAACACAGCTATCAGTACCGTCCATTCAAATGACTCTTTTTGATTTAACATAGATTCTAGTTATTGATAACTTGGTCTATCGTTCTTTATAATGAGATAAAACAACCAATGTGACACAATCTGCCTGTTTCTTAATCATTTCACCAACTTCTATATGGTTTTTATGGAGAACTCGTTCACCATTCACTGAGTAGATATACTGTCTTACCTGAAATAACAATCATTATTCACATTAGATCTTCTATTCAAAACATTGTAAAGTGTGCTAATACATGCTAATATCGACACTATGTACGCCATCAGAACTTATTATCTAATCATTGTCTATTGTTGAAAATGTAACTCTACAGCTCTAACCAAGAAAATAGCAAAATAAAATTATAAATATCAATTAAAACTTAAGGTTTGGCAGAAAGCATAAGAAATATACCATCTTGCACCTTTTACATGAAGATATAAAGTAACAGATTTGAATGGAAGAACATGTTTTAACAAACGTTTAAAAAGCAAGAAAGACTCAATGTAGCCCTAATGTTTACCTTCAGACCAGCGGAGGCAGCAGGTCCCATAGGATCCACAATCTGAACATAGGTTGGTCCATCTCCTCTAATAACAAACCCATATCCTACACTATCACTCATAATCTATAATAAATACATTATAAATAGAGCTAGTTTCCAAATTGGTTAAATAAAGTCAGTTACAGCATACAGTATGCAATAAGGAAACTTGCCTAGCAAGACAGCAAAATCAGCAAACTCTATTTTCTGTAACATCAAACAATCATCTGAATTACCCTGCTAAAACAATTCATTTTCACTTTTTCAGATAACCAATCCTTTGTCAGAACAGATGGTTTTCAATTTGCTGATGCGACTAAGATTTCAAATATAATTTGAATTGAAGTTTTTTCTATGCACATACAAGGGTTGAAACCTCTCTTTAATCTTACCTTAATGCTTTTCTTTTTATAGGGAGAGTTGGGTTCTTCTAGTTCAAACACAGATACTTGACGAACTATAACTAAAATAAAACAATTATAGATTGAACAGATTAAGCAAACACACATCTTATTTTGAGAAACCACCCCCACAAGATCAGATTCACAGTCACAGACATCTTAATAATGGCAAAGCTTATGAACTATGTCTTAGACCTTGACCATAATAAGCACTTTTGATGAAACACAGAAGTTTTTAAACAATTTGATTGCATTGTTAGATAGTGACAAGAAATCAAGACAAACAGGACCCTTAAAAGATTGTATCCTTATCCTATATATTGCTTAAGTTAAATTATCCTTAAGTTTAGTTATCCTTAAGTTAAGTTATCCTTAAGTTAAGTTATCCTTAAGTTTAGTTATCCTTAGCCTTGAGTTAAGTTACCCTTAAGTTTAGTTTTTGTGAATAAAGCCTCAAGACTTTATTTCAAAACCATATTGACAAGGAGGAAATGAACTGTGAGATAAATACCTGATTTAGGTTCTATTTCACTGTCTGAGTTACTAGAGAGTGAAGATTGTAAGGAATTGATGGAATCACGATGAGACGAACTAATACTTGGACTGGTATTCTCTACACCAAAATGATTGAAATGTATCAATGGCGGCATGTTACCATGACAACTACTACCAGTCGATGATATTGAGCCTGATGTATGACGGCCTCTTGATATATCTGAAATGTTAAATGGAGCTAATGATGGAAACAGATTTTTAGGAAAGGAGGTTTCACTTATTTTCTGCAAATTACACATTGAAACATAATAGTCCTACTGTTCTCTACCTTATACAACAAATGATTGAAATTAATATGAGAAAGGGATAGGTTGATTTCTCCCAAAGTTAGAGACCTAATGCTCTGCATCTTATCGTTGAAAACCAACATACCAAGTATTAAGCAATGAAAGACCTTTTTGCCAGGACAACAGCATTAGCCTTTTTCAATTTAACATGCACAGTCTGTTTTCATCATTGATCAACCTAATGCTTTTTCATGTCCACCCTTCAAATCTACATCACTGACAACAATAAGTGAATATCAATACCAATACCAAAATCGGAAGAGAGGTTTCCATGTTAGCAATCAAGTGTTTTGGCGGCACCCATAAACAGATTACTATACTTACAGTTATGATCGAAGTATTCCAAACCATTATTATTATTATTATTATTACTATAAGTTCTGGAACCTGTTCGTCTCAATCGGAATATATCAGATAATAAATATGGCTGATTAAAATCTATACAGAACTGATATTTATAATTGCCATCTCGAAAATGATAATCATCCGTCACTGAAGGAGAGAATAACAATTAATCTAGGGTGTAATCATGAATATTCATGGGCAGGGCTCTGAGGATGTATTTTCGTGGATTTCGCTGATCAATGTTGGGCAGTAAAACAATGGAACTCACATGAAATAATACTAATAACTCACCATGTTTGATGATCTCTCTCTCCAGTAGTTCTCTCCCTTTCTGAACAGCCTCATTACGGCTGAAGACTACCTCATTCTTGATCATCCAGTCTATTAAACAACTACCAGTGAAGGTATCACGATAAACATGGCCAGCGTCTGTATGATCTCTCATTATCTCCCTACAATTTTTGATCCTAAAAGTAAAAACACAAAAACATGATCTACAGAATTTGGAATCAACCAGCGACTGCTAGCAACTGGCTGGCAAAATGGAAGAATTTGAAAAATTCCAGTTGTCGTCAGTTGCTCATGTTCATTTTACAGAGTTAAACAGAAAATCCAGTGTAAAAAACTAACTATTTTAAATATTCATTACATATAAAAAGTCAAGTACAAACACTTACTTATTGAATATAAAAAGTTCAGTATAAAAACTTACTTATCAAATATAAAAAGTCAGGTACAAAAACTTACTTATTGAATATTAAAAAGTTCAGTATAAAAACTTACTTATTGAATATAAATAGTTCAGTATAAAAACTTACTTATTGAATATAAAAAGTTCAGTATAAAAACTTACTTATTGAATATAAAATGTCCAGTACAAAAACTTACTTATTGAATATAAAAAGTTCAGTATAAAAACTTACTTATTGAATATAAAAAGTTCAGTACAAAAACTTACTTATTGAATATAAAATGTCCAGTATAAAAACTTACGTATCAAATATAAAAAGTCAGGTACAAAGACTTACTTATTGAATATAAAAAGTTCAGTATAAAAACTTACTTATCAAATATCAAATATAAAAACTTACTTATTGAATATAAAAAGTTCAGTATAAAAACTTACTTATCAAATATAAAAAGTCAGGTACAAAGACTTACTTATTGAATATTAAAAGTTCAGTATAAAAACTTACTTATTGAATATAAAAAGTTCAGTATAAAAACTTACTTATTGAATATAAAATGTTCAGTATAAAAACTTACTTATTGAATATAAAATGTCCAGTATAAAAACTTACTTATTGAATATAAAATGTCCAGTATAAAAACTTACTTATCAAATATCAAATATAAAAACTTACTTATTGAATATAAAATGTCCAGTATAAAAACTTACGTATCAAATATAAAAAGTCCAGTATAAAAACTTACTTATCAAATATAAAAAGTCAGGTACAAAGACTTACTTATTGAATATTAAAAGTTCAGTATAAAAACTTACTTATTGAATATAAAAAGTTCAGTATAAAAACTTACTTATTGAATATAAAAAGTTCAGTATAAAAACTTACTTATTGAATATAAAATGTCCAGTATAAAAACTTACTTATTGAATATAAAATGTCCAGTATAAAAGGCCTCAGTATCTTTATCTTCTGTATAACTTCCGTCATCTCGTCTAAATCTATAGAACAATTTCTCATCTTTAAACTGGTGGTCATCACACACTGAAATTTGATAAATTGTGGGTTCTTAATGGACGATATGTAGGGCTGGGCATTATTGGTTCAATAATTCTTTAGGCACAGGAATTCAAACCAAAAGCAATAAGTACAAGACAGGTAACAAATCAGCTTGCTGCATGTTGCTACAAAATCTCTTGAAGAATTGCTTAGGAGTAAAAGAACAGAACAGGGCACCAGAGATTGAAATAAAATTGTTATACAATATACATACCATGATGAAAGATATGATTATCTTGTAAGATATTCATGGCTATTACGGCAGCCTCCCTCGAGTGAATATGACCAGTTTTTATCAACCAATCAACGGTCTGTGTTCCCATAAAACAGATTCTGTACGTTCGGAAGCGATATTTTCTGTCGTGAATAAGATCTTGTGTGTTCATTACAAATCTGAAAGATATTAGATTCAAATTTCATTCAGGTTGAGAAAAAATAATTGGTCTGAATCATAAATAAACTTCATTGAATTTGAGCTCCACTAATATAGGCATTGTGGCAGGTGTTGCCGGCTGCTGAGCCAGGTTTACATTCAAGGGGGGGGGGGGGGCGAAATATCTGAGATTGGCCTAATTTCTAAACTAGTTATGAGATTTTTACCCAAAAAACTTGCTTTCGTGGCTCCCCCTTAGCATAGTGTCTTGAAAGTGACATAGTTTATTTAGACATGTAATATACTTGTGGAACTTCAGTAGGAACACAGGCTGAAATAAGTCAGTGGTATAAAGATAGACCTAGCGGGAAACTCTGAGTAACAACATGTTTCAGGTCTGTTTTAATATTTCTAGTTTAATTATATATATTTTAATATATCTTTATTTGCAATGACAATATGATAATGGATACAGCTTTATAAGATACAATGAGACAATAGGCTAGATGAGAACTATATTAACACTCCCTGATAACAGACTTAGAAGTATAGTATAGAAGTAGAACAGTAGGACATTCGGTCAATGTTAAATATTAATATCAATTAATACTGTCCTACATCTTTTATAATTTCTATACCATGTTATCATTATATCCATATTCCAGCACAGTACACCGTTAGGTGCATTTTCCTAAATTACTTATGATTTCTATACCATGTAATTACCTATCATCCTAGCCATTCAAGTGTAATTTGCTGAAACATTGCATACCATAAAACTGCTCTACAACAAGCAATGTTTGCACTGGGGGAAGATTTTGCAAGGATATTGGCATTAGCCTTCTCTTAATATAACGACATCGTAATTCATTTGATAATAAAAAGGCTTTATACATCCTTCGTTGTCATTCGATCCCATAACAGTGGCATGCAAAAATGTTTAACAGCAGCTTCTTATGCCAAGATTGAACCCTGGCCTTCTAGTGTCCTACTCACTGACACCATTATGGCCTAGAATTACAATCAGTATCAGAATCTTAATACCTACAATGATTAGATTACAAATTATCAACCTCATAACTTCTGTCTGTCAATTTTGATTTGATAATAGTTCAATCTCTATTTTAAATCAACTATTGCATTACTTCAGACCTTATTTTAATTCAACTCTTGAATTGGCCCTATTTAAATTTTAAAATATTGTACTGTAATAGCCCTTATTTCAATTCAATCATACCTCTAATATTACTTACATCAACTTTAAACTTATTCCTATATATACCAATCTAACAAGATGGAATTAAAGAGGATGTAATGAGGTTTTCTAAACTTTTAAAGATGTGTTTCTTAATTTTTTAGTGACAAATTAAGCAATTTTTTTTATTAGTTGGTGTTTCTAATGAATTATCATATTGTATTCTTAGTCATATCAATATGTTCTTATTGCATATAAGTAAGAGTTTTGATCAATCATAAATGTCTATGGAAGTACAGTATGGATAAACCCAAAAAGACTTTTTGACCTTTCTTGAAGGGCCACTCATTGATATTCTGCTGGTAATTCTCTTCTAATTTAGCTATGAATTATGAATTAATTATGGACATGTGAGACAACCTGGTAGTCATTAGAACACCTCTACCTCTATTCATATAAGTATTAGCATTTTCATTTTCATAAATAAAAATAAGGGAACCTATCTTTAAGTCCATCAGAAACACTGATATCATCAATTTGCATCATTCCAATCTTAAGTAAGGTATCTGTGGAAATTCCACTATAAGTAAGTATTTAATGATGTCACTATTGCTAAAGCTGCTATTGATTTATATAAAGACCTTTGCAAAAGTGACGTCTTAAAACGCATAGTTTTAGTAAAATTGAAAGAAAGTCATCTGATTAAAATTGGAATGATGCAAATTGATGTTATCTGTGTCCACTATACACAAATATGTTTTGGAAAACCTTCTTACAATCACTTTAAAGTTTCAATTCTCTCCCTTTACCTCACTCTTCCACCTTGCCTTTTTTTCCTCACTTTATAAGATGCAAAAAGTTGAGGGTAGAAAATGCTGTAGTCAGCTTTCATAACCCTTAATGTTGGCCCACTCATTTTAATAATTTCATTAAACATATAATAAAGATAATTACCTTAACTGTTCACCAATTAACAAGATCTCTTGTTTTACAGATGAGGTGGATTTCGTTCTGGTTCTCTGCATTCTTCTAATTAGGTCTACTGTTTCCCTTCTCCCTGTCTATATCCTATATTACTTCAAACTCGGTTCTTTTAAGATGAAGTCTGTCAGTATTTGTCAATCTTGGCAGTAAAGTTTCTGCTATTTACTCTTGTTTTCTTTCTTCACTGGTATTTCATAAGATTCCAAGCCTGGTTCTCAATCCTGATTATTCAATCTACTGATTTGTCTTGCCAGTATTTCTATTTCCAGTTTTCGCTTTGTTCTTCCTTTTCAGTCTATTGTTTCCCTATTCTATTCATTCAACACTGAAATTTCCGGTCTTCTTTTTTTGTTTACATTTTTTTTTTTTTACTTCTTTAGTCTCCTGTTTACTCTGAATCTCTTCTCAATATGAGATTCAAATTCAGTTTTTATAATGCACTCTTTTCTATAAGCTTATATCTTATGAAGAGTTAATTACTAACTGAATATAGATGAGATACCACACAGCTTACAATGAAGTCCTTGATATTAAATTCTTAATACAATATACCAGTAGACAGTATTAACAGTAAAATGACATTAACAAGGAAGAAAATTGTTTGCTAAACTCCAGATATGTAACTAGTTTATAATTCAAATCCTTAATTATACTAATATAGTATTTTCACTGTTAAAATAGTGCTTAATATATCAATTGTAGAGCAATATATAAATCCTTAATTATATAGAAAGATCAGCATTTTCCACTTCTGTCACATGTCTATACAAATGTATGTAATTCAACCAACTAAACAAGTCTCTAAATCAGTCTTAATCAATCAAATATCATTCTCAAATATCATCCAATAACATCCAATGTTTGAAGAAAATAATTGGTATCATTTGTTTATAAAATATAAACTAAAAAGTGTGAAATTGCAAATCACTTGTTGTCTAAATGGATAAGATTACAACAGCACTGTTCCAACTTTAGATAAGGAATGCATTAGAGTTTTATGTCCTACTTTTCTGCACAAATTTTGTTTTAAACAAAAATAGTCGATAGAATTAACAAAATTGAAGTTTTTCATCCAACTTTTCTGGACAAATATCGTTTTATAAATTGTCCATAATAACAAAATCAACAAAAATATTGTGATTATTTCACAAAATTTATCCAGTGAACAGACAACACAGTGGAACTTGATTTTCAATGATATATCTAGATAATAATTGATATACTAATGTTTATGTACAGTCGAAGTATCTCAAGTAAAATTTTGATATACTTTAAACTTTGACCTCTCTCTTATCAAATTAGAATTTCAAAATAGATGTAAAGAATTGGTAGGGTACAATCCTTTGATTAGGATGACAGTACATAGTATTTAATAACTTGTGTAGGTGTAGAACTAGGACCCTAATATAACCAAGATAAATATATATTATACTACTACTGTATATTTCTGAATATAAATAGTAATAATGAGGCCTGCATTAAAGGAATATTGTACAAAATATTCATGTTAGTCTAAGTAAGGTGATAGTGGAATATGCCTTTTTATCACTCACTATTTTGGTGTCTGTGTTATGCCATCTCCAACCTCAAATTCTTCTTCAACAAGGTGTGCGCATTATATACAGATAAATGAATTTTTCCAGATTTTGATGGGGTAAAGAAGGGATGAGTATTATATTAGGAAATATACGGTACATACATCAATAATATACAATATTTTGATACACTGTAATATGATATTATATTCTACTGCAGTTGTTCTCTTAAGATGCTACTTTAAACCAATCAAAGCATGTCATAATGGACGCATTTCTTGCTAACAATGACCAATTGGGGATAGCTAAAACCAAAGTAGACCAATTTAACATATCTTTGAGTTTCGCATTCTCACAATTCCTCTCTTTTAGCAAGAAATGCGTCCTACAAAACAATTGACTTCTTTAGAACCTGACTTAAGTAGAAAAATTGATAGATTTCAATGAAGAAAAATTATCAGCAAAAAAATGAAAACAATTTGTAATTTAATTTTAATTATAATTCAGAGGAAAATTTTCATAAAAAAAGAAAATGGAATTGTAAGCCAATTTTAATTAGAATACAAGGGGAACTACAACTTTAAAGATACAATGATTCAGTAAAATTAAGGATTGTCTCATAGATAAGACTAGTCTGAAACTACCTGACACTTTCCAGTCTGTAGTAGATATATAATCATTATTTCATCTGATGACCACATACATATAATGTATAACTTTTTTCATATGTAAAGTTTATTAGCTGCTACCAATGCTACCACAAATTTGTGATATGTACTCCTCAATTCTAAATATTGTTCAAGTCTTAAACCAAAGTATTGTCAAACTGTGATTTTGAATCTCATGTTTCATTTTGTGGATAGGATTGTTACGATTTTCATTTTGAAAAGTTCAGTGATTCAACTAAAAAGAAGCCACAGTTAGATTTATGAAGTTATGTGTCCCTCTTGTTTCAAAATATGACTATGATAAATAATTCAGACAGTAGTAGTAGAAACTGGGAGTTTCGGACTATGAAAATCTAATCAATGTTATCTATAATATATTATACTCAAAATAAATAAACATAGGATCGATATCTCTCAATACATATCTTATTCTTATGTATCTTACTAATTCAATAATTGACAAGAATATACATAAATTACAGAATAAAGCAATTCATACAATGAAATGAGTATTACGCTCTACTTTTCTGAGCTATAAAAGGCATTGCACAATATCAAAGACATAAATTAATGAAATTTGGAACATTTAAACCAAGGCAAAACAAAATGTAAAATGAAATAATCGATAAGTTTGAATAAACACTTGATCTACCTTTAATATACCCTATTCCATTTGCATATCTTTGGTTATAATTGGATAACAATTGCATACTATGTAGAAATGCAACAATAAATTTTGAAAATATAAAAGTAGTCAAATGAAATAATCATATCACTCTACAATTGATGTACGGTACATCTTTAACAATGAAAATACTTATATTGGAATGAAATAATTAAATGGTTTGAAATTCTGGTGAAGATGGCGGACTTCTTAACGTCGTCAATGGCACTTTACTAAAGACTGGATGATCACTACTTATTTCACTTTTTTCTTTTGACATTTTCTCTTCGTCTCTTGATTTGTCGTGTTTATGTTTATGTTTGTGCTTGTGTTTATTTTTTTTCTTCTTCTTTTTGGGTTTATGAGATCTACCGGAGCTTTCCCCATCAGGTCCTGGTTGAGAATTGCTGGAAGGTTTGGTGAGATCTGGCAGGGGGTTACTGGGAGCTGACAGGTTACACAGTATATCAATCGATTGACTACTCTGGGTTGAAGCAGGAGGCACTTGAGATGACGTCTGACTGTGGGATGGGGAACTTGATTCTTCACTCAAACGACTCAAGTCTTCTTTCGGTTCAGGTTGCTTTACGAATGCTGTGACCTTCCCTTCAGAATCAATTTTGATTTGTTTCGCTGGGGTGGCACCACTTTCAGGTTTTGTTGTTTCTAATCCAGTCGAAGACTTCACAAAAGATAAGAAAGCAGATTCATATTGGGATTTAGGATTAGCTGGATTTTCAATTTTCCGTTTTGGAGTGACAATGATCTCTCCTGGTTCTCTTCTAGATTGGCGATATATGTTCTCTTCTGTTGATAATTCTTCTTCAAAAATATCATCTTGAAGTTTTTCAGGTACAATAGCAGGATTCAAAAAAGTTGTTTTCTGTTTCAAATTCAGCACCATCATATTTTCAGGAATAGGTACACAAGATGGTCGCGTTCTGCCATATAAAATGTAATAAAAATCAGCTACACCACAACGTAAACGACTATCACAACACAATGTTGAGTTCATCAATATCCAGAGCCTGTCTACCAGCTCCATTGTATTCAGAGAATTGCTGTCACCTTTCTTAAAGGGAGGATTATCCACCAGTAACATCAATACTTTGTGTCTTATGACAGTGTCTTTATCAGTTTCCACCAAGTCAAGGAGCCACTCTAATATAGACTTGCTATGTTCAGACTTAACATAATCTACTAATGCTGTCAGAGCTGCCAGGCGTACGTCCATAAATACACCATAATTAGCATAAGCTTGAAAAAGGTCAGGATCATTTGGCAGGTGTCCAAATTTCTGCATTGTTCTGATTAGTTTCAAACAGCTCACAGTCACTGTATGTCTATAACAGGGCAGCAACTTTTCTAAATTTAAACATCGAGTACACTCCTCTAGAATTAACCTCATATCAGTGCTCAGGTAATCTGTGCTTAATCCAGGTCCAGAGAGAGATACTGTGGTAACAGCAGGAGTTACAGTCTCACACAGAGCTTCAATCAGAGCAGCTCTGTAATAATTATCAGAGTATTTATTCTTACTGTTATCATTATACTTAAACAAATCAATTAAAAATCTCATCACCTCCATAGGACAAATACTGTGAATATTCCTCAACTGGGCCATTGCTTTTGGCATAGTCTTTAACAAGAAATAATGTTGAAAGTTATTGAAATTATTTTGTCTGATTATAGAAGGGCATGAATGAGATCCAAAAGTCTTTCTAAATATAGTCATCATTGCTGGTGGCCCCGCCCAACTGCTGACCATTGAGTTGGCAACGCTTGACAGGCAGAGACAGGCATCACATCGCACCTTATAGTAACAAGAGTCATTCTCTATTGTGTCAGTTAATGCCAATCGGGTAGCAGGTGTCCCAAACTTGTACAGAGCTTCAATGGCTTCTTTCTGAGCCACGACGTCTCGTTCATAGCGGAGTTGATACTGCCACATATAATCTGGTTGCTCCCATGCACACTGACGAAGCGTGTTCAACTCTGGATCTAAACGTAGCCATAAGACAGGCGAATCAGCATCCATTGCACTCAAATCCATATCTACCTCCTCTCCAGTCATCAATGGAATTTTTTTCTTTTTATTCCTTCGGCTTTTAGAATGACAAGTTATCTCAAACTTTGTTTTATTTTCTTCAATTTTAAAAGTGTGGTTGAAAGATCCATCTAATTCCTGTATGGTAACTGTTAGAGGACCTACGTATTTCAAAGCTCCTTTAGAACTGTTGTCTTGTTTAATTTCCAACTCCACCACATTTCTCTTTCGATTAAACACAAAATTTCCATAAAACCTAGCACATCCACTCTGATAGACCCATTGTTCAAGGAAAGGTAAAATATCTTTCCCTGTCACAGTAGAAATGATTTTTAAGAAGGAATTAGTAGACAGTAACATATTTGTCCAATTGTTGTTTAAGAATTTTTGTTGAGAGGCAGTGTAGGCCAGAGATAGTAATTTATTCAAAGCTTGCAGGATTAATTCAGTTCCAATTCTATGTTCCAGGATACGTATTACCAGGGTAGCTTTTTTGTAAAACATCTCGGCATACATTGGAGAAATGGTATGAGGATTCTTAGTGGAATAATGAACATTGGATTCCTTTTTCGTAGGATCCAAAACGATTCCACCAACTTTATTCTCATAATCAGCAACTTCTTTCAAAATCTTGTTGATTTCGTATCGGAATTCATTATTGCCGAAAGTTCTTTTGATAAACAAAGTTGATAGATATCCAGCTATGCCTTTAGGAAGCCATGCATCAGACCAACCATCCATTGAAATAAAGGTACCAAAGAATTGTTGAGCGACAGCCTGGGCCATGAAATTCCTGGTGTGGAAAGTCTGGTCAATAATTCTTGAAGAGTGAAGTAAATTGGTACTAAATATTGTCATGGTGGCATAGACACTCACATCGGCATAGCTTTCATCCACAAATACTTGTTTATAATACGAGTATGGATAACGACTGGATAACAGTTCTTCATAGAATTCAAAAGCTTCATGAATATAGCCTGTAGTGTGTTTTAAAATACCACTTAAATGTGGTAAACAAAAGTGAGTCACTTCATGCATGTTAGGATCTACTAAAATCTCAAATGGACCAACAGCAATGGCGATATTAGGAGCACTGACAGGGGTAGATATGTAATAGTGGAATGTCTTTTTCATCAAACAAGGGGAATAAACCACTTCTATCAAATCTCCACAAGACACGGCCGTCATGTCTCGGTGACAAGTTATCTCAATTTTCCACGTGCACGGTTCACAGAAGGTGTCAATGCACGGAAACCACAATCTTGACGAATTTTCATGACCGTATGAAAACATGTGAGCACCTCGATCAGCCATATCATCATTGATGTCAGGAACCACAAAATGAATTCCACCTTTCGGATTCTCCAATGAATATTCTATGCAAATTCTGAAAGGTCGAAGTTCAGCTATAAGTGGAATTGTTTCTGGTGGCATCTTGATGGTTACTTCACCATTGACATTGTCAGCATCCACTGCATTCATAGCTGATAAATGACAGTTTTGAAAGAAGTCTAGATTTCGTTGTTTGGCATCGCCTTGACATATTTCTTGAGTTGGATCATTGTAAAGGAAAGCTGCCTCCCACTGATCATTGATACAGATACGATAAATACACCCTTGTTTAAAATTTACTTTAACTCGTTTGAGATCAGGTCGTAAGGGATGGATTGTCAAATCTACGTAGCCGATCACTGATCTTTTCTCAAAATTTACTCCAGTCAGGCAAATTTTTTGATGTGAGAGTTTATAAGGTCTCTGCTTGTCTGCTTTAATGTCTTTCTTCATGTTGATAGCACAATTGGAAACAGAAAGATTTTACTAATACTGCTTGAATCTAGATTTATTTGATGTTAGAATGTTCTTGGAATTGTTTTTGTTTACATTTTGTTTACTAAAATTATTCAAACGAGATTTGAAGGTCTAAATCAGAACGACATTTACTGCTTCGTGCACAACTTGTAAATCTATGCTAGATAATAGTTAGCTGAGAGTTTATAATTGTTTCTCGGTTGAAGTTATTGGAATATTTTGGAAAACATTTGATTGTTTTCAATTTCACGACTATTTCATGGGCGCAGCCATTTTGAATAGATGGCGTTGTCCGTAAAGACTGGACAATCTTGACTAAAAAGCGCGCTAATATGGATGATATAGAAAGCGAAAGTTGTCTTCACAGGTTGTAATTTCTACTCACTATTTGAATAGAATTAGATTGATTTTTACTCATTAACCATATTTGAGTACAAATCTTTTATAGCGGCCAGAAAATTCTCATAATACGCACGAAATCTTCCTTGCTCTTAGAAAAGACAATAACAGTATATTTCAGACTAATTGATGGAGTCTTTACGGTAAAACCTGTGGATTACGACCAGCATTGTTAAGTTCTTGCTTGTTGGATTTTAGGCAATTAAACCACCATGCATTTTGAAACATTACTACATCTGTCAGATGAAATAGCAATATGATGATAATTTATGATTAACTTTGTTGTTATATTGTAGATCACTAGAAGATGTGGAATCAGTGTTAAGTTTTGCTAAATTAGAAAGAAGTGATATAAAACCCAATACACAATGTGTTGTATTCAGTGAAGAACTTGATAATGATAAGGTCAAATTAATGGAATTAGATTCTAATATTCTACAATGTCTAACAGTTGGTGACAGGTGAAAAATTATATATATTACATTTTTGTATATACTGGTAGCTACATATTATGTAGTCCTACATCACAATTTTGGAGAATTTTTAAAATGCCATTTGGCAATATTCAATTGTTTTGAAAATTATTACACATACTTGGTTTTGTACGTAGAAAATATGTCTCCCCAGCTTAGATGCAAGCATAGATCATTATATTTAATAGGTCTATAGGGGTATTTGTAGTTGCAGTTTCACACTCAACTTGTGCTTTTTAAGAAAGACAATATCACTGCAGATACAGTTCATACAAAATTATTTCATTCTGAATCAACAGTGGTTCCTCCCTCATATTCACTGTTTGGAGGAATTTAACTCTCTTCGAATAAAGGAAAAATTAGGACAAGGAACTTGAAAGCAGCCTGTGCTGCATGTTTATGGCGCGTGTGGCATCAGGTAAGGTGTGCTCACTCTTCAAGACACCTGATACCACTTTGATTATGAAATACTTAATCACTTATGATTGATGTACTTTTCAATGTGAAAAGTTCATTAGCTGCTACCGATGTATTTTCAATATCGGGTTTCTTTTTGCAGTTATTACTTGGTATATTTATTAACTGTTCTATATTCTAGAGTTGTAATAAGGGGAGATAAAGAGGATGGAGCTGTTCTATGTACCCTAGATAAAACCTATGATATCAAGGAAGCTGAAACGTCTAATTCATTATTAATAATACCAGATCTAAAATTTAGCCAAGATTTACCATCAGAGGGAGATGTCCATCTTACTTTTAATCAGGTAAGGTCAAAGGTCAAACCCAAGAAGATTCATTCATTTTATTTCAAATGATATTAAGTGGACTCCCAATCTGTTTCAGCATTTTTCTTCCATCTTTAGGTTAGGGTGGTGGCTCAACTTGAGTTGAGATAGTACCTTCAGATTTTCAACCTAGTTTCCCCCTGTCATTCGAAGGGCCAGACATGGAAAAATCATCTAGTCCTCCAGGGTATTTAGCCTTTATTAGAGACATCTGGTTGTGTTTTAAGATATCTTCTCTAATATGAACATATTGATCCAGGTAACCTCAGTATTACAGACCTACTATGAACTCCGACCCTGTAAACCTAAATTAAAGAAATTAAAAGAAGTATTAGAAAGAAATCCCTATAGTGGTAAAGAATGTGAAAATGATGAACACCATCAGGGTAAAAAGGTAGGCAAATATCTTCTCATGTAGAGGTGAAATTTTAGAAGTGAAAGCAAATACTTGGTTTTTGCTTTGATGCTTTTGAATCATGTAAAAACTTATAAATTCTGTGAGGTAAAGTATACAAAAATATTTTTAACTTTTGATCATAATTTCATGCTCAATATGATATTCTTCCACTGAACTTCCACAAGAATTTGGTAGGAATAAAAATCACTGATTTTGCAGTACCTGTAGCTGTACATTAAGTCACTTAATGAAACTGAATGTTTATTCTGTAATATATTAATAATGGATTTTGATGTATATTTCAGTATACATTGAATGATTTATTAGATACAATACAAGCTAGTGAATCAGAGATATTACAAGCTCTTCATCAATTTAAAGCTTGTCACATAGATGGTAAGTGTATGACGCAAAATTTAGTAGCGTTTGTTTTGACTGTAGAACAAATTTGGTATAATCTCACAAAAAATTTTTTAGTTTCTGATCTTATCTTGACTTAAGGCAAGGCGAATGGAGTAACTAGACAAAAAACCAAATATCTAGAATTTTAATTCATGTAGCTCAAGGGCCTTATTCCCCAAAACTTTACTTAAATAAAATCCAGATTTTAAGAAATACAAGGTTATCTGATTGGATAACAAAACAAAATTTAAAATTGACTTAAGTGATTAACCAATCAGATGACTAGAACACTAATATCATCTTTAGACCCCAGGTTTATCCATTTTGATCACCAATAATACAGTCACAGCTTTTAAGCCTTTATACAAGGTCAAATAAGATTCGAAGGATAATTTGAATGAATTTTGTTTTATATTTGTTAATAGGTTATTGGAGATTACTGGAGTTTGATTTTTTAACACAAGTATTAAATCATGTTCTACAGTTAATAGATGAGAATGATTGGTTAGATTCTGGTATACCTTTAGAAGAATGTTGTCAGACTTTACAAGATCTCTTTCCCAGGTAGGCTCATTCTAGACTAACAAATCTTGACCTACTAAATACCACAGAGACATGATAGGGTTCCTCTTGGGAAGGGTCTTAAATATAAAGTCCTTTTTTATGGTTGAGTTGAGTGTTGTTTTTTAAATCTGTAATAAATATGTTTATTTATAGGTGTGTAATAAGCCATGTTGTAGAAACTTACTGTGATAAAAATACTACGTCAGATGGTATGTCAATTTTCATCATAATATTCCTTATGTTTCACACCTTTCTTATACAAGCTATCCCAATTTCAAGCATCCTCATTGTTGCTATCATGACGAAAATCTCCACATTGCACACTGCATGGCATTACCTGTCCTCATTAGCCTAAACAGGTGCTAGGAAGGACATAAAACTTTATTTCATTTATTTCCATTTCACGTTTTAGCTGTTGTATATAAAATCAGTGAAGATAGAGTTTGTAGATTTTTTGCTGAGTTATTACTACGTGGATCAGGGCAGGTAGGCACAGAAAATCATATATTATAATTGAATTGGGCAGGTACACCATCCATTCAACCAATTTTATCTTAGTCTCAGACACAGGAAACTGTTCAGCTGAGCTAATCAGTTATAGTGCTCTCAGCTTACCATTTAAATTTGAGACTTCTTATCTGTGTGTATCCATTATTTACCATGTTTGACAACTCCTTTTGAGACTTCATCAGGTAGAAGAGCTTTAATAATAAAATAGACAGTGAAATTTCTAGTTTGAGGTATATTTGAAGGGATTATGTGATATTCATACAGGTCTAGAGATTCTGAAGACTATTTACATATATTCAAGACTCAAATCAACCCCCCAAAATACTGATTGTTGCGAAGGTTGATCGGATTATTCATTGGGCATAATTGATCAAATACAAATCAATTCATACCCTTGAATGTTATATAGAGAAATTTTCTTTGTCAAATGAATCAAATATTATGAAAGTGACTTGTTTTTCAGTTTAATTATAAAGAATTTTTAGAAGTTTGGCAACAGAGCGTACCTGAAGGAATGAAAACTGATACTTCACAATTAGAGGTCAGGTATTTTTGCCAGGGTCATAGAAACTAGCTCGGAATGTGAATTTTGGTTATGATCACTCTTAAAGATCCATACTTATTTAAACAAGGTTATCTAATGGTGGGATCCTCTAGAACCCAAGTGACCAATGCTTAGAGGGTTGGCCAAGGGCCTAGCTGGTAAAGTCCTTGTGAACTTACTGATCAATGGGAGTAGTATTGGCCAAGGCGATGGAAATGATCATTGGGACCCATGTTCTCATGATAGTGATCATTTACAAGAGGTTTGTCCAAGAACCAGATTATGGAATGGATGCTCAGGAAACTAATTTGTTCTTTAAAATATCAATGTTTCTTTTTCATCAGGGGCTGGCATTAACAAATCTGGACTGTAATATTCCTGTTATTTGGCATTTTCCTGTTGAAGATTTACCAGAAGATATTCAGGAAAGATTTGAATTCCTGTTTAAAACTCGAGAAAAATGGACACGAGATGACATCACTCCTTATATCAAGTTAGTACTGTTGTTTACAATTCTATATTTATTTTGAATATCTGCAAGATTATATATACTTTTTGTCCGATAGATCTTTGCTGGTTTTTCCGTTATGACTTGAAAAATACAGTCAAATCAACAGCCCTGTTACCTCATATACCAAAATATCATTGTAATTCATGATCTATTTGTACAATGCCCATTAAATATTCATGGTACATTGCAATAATTCTTTATCTACATTTCTATATATTGATATGGGTAGAAAGAAATGGTCCTTGGCTCAAGAAAAACCTTATCAATATATTGATATATCGTGTTTAAAGAAAAGATTAGAAGTCTTGTCCAGCTATTTATCATGCCTCCAAATATCTTAGATTGTTGAGCAGGTAACTAGCCATAACATACTAGCCATTTTCTGTGACCTGAATGTATTATCAAGGTTTCTTTTTCTGTATTGTAGAGACTTGACGACAGAGAAACTAGATGTTGGTGCTCTGTTAACCAGGTATGCTAGAGCTTCCATGCAAAATGGTATTAAAGTCTTCAATTCAAGAAAACAAGTGACAAAATAAATATTTTATACTACTGTATCATTTGTTCCCTTAACTTGCTAAAGACATTGTCAAAATGACATCAAGAATTACATAGAAAGAACGCAAGATCAAGTGTTGGATCTCAATAATAATTTCTGATGTTCAAAGTAAATTTGGGGTTCACTATCTCCCGACTATGCTAAAATCAGATTTTTCAATCAGATACACGTCATAAGAACTGACATGGAAAAAGTTTTGATGTATTAGAGTTTAGTGTTGCTAGCATGAGATGTGAACTTGTCAATCAGACAGTAGACAAGGCCAACTCGACAGATCTACCGATCTGGTTAAATTTGGCTCCACTGTATTAGCTCAATAAAGATCATAACTTTACCATATGATTTATCATAACTATCACCTATACAGGGTCTGATACCTGAAGTACTGTTCTTCTTCTTTCTAGTGAAAGGTTAAAATCAGACATAGGGCTGACTCTCTCACAAGCCTCGGAATCAGAATTGTTCTTAGCATGTGTGGGATTGGAACCCACAGAACCTAATAGCCTAGCGGATGACACGCTACCGACTGAGCTATTATACAAAACTTATTACAAACATCACAATTATGAAAATTGATCATCATACTTTAAACACAATCATTTTTAGTAATATCAAAATTTATTTTCACCATGTACAATGTATCAAAATTTAACAAATTAACAAATATACCATAAATACAATTATTATAAACAATCAACTTGAAATCAAAACATTTTGCTGCTATGTCAATAAATTTTATGCTTTTTTTATATATCATGACTATTTAGATATAACAAATAATTGTAGCGCAATGCAAGTTAACTCCAAATGAGGCAAGGGAGGTTGGGTAGAATGGAAAAATATTAACATAATTGAAAAACAAACACATTTGAAGTTTGGGTGTCTATTTAAAAGTAAAATATTTCTCTCCATTCTGATAAGTTCTCTAGATTGTTTGAATTGAGTTCTAATAATAAATGGAACAAGTATATCCCTACAAACAAACTAGAATGTTATTCCGATTCATGCCGTTTCACTTTTAATAATACTCAGAATAGCATCAGTTTGGTTTCCATGTTTCTTCAAATGATCATTATATAGCCCTTTATACATAAATTCCTGACTACAAACATCACATTTATATGGTTTCTCTCCAGAATGAATTCGTTGATGAACTTTCAGATTACCAGCCTGATTAAATGATTTATTACAAACATCACATTTCCAATCTTTCTGAGCTGTGTGAATTCTTCTATGTCTGTTTAAATCAGCATGTAAATTAAACATTTTACTACAAACTTCACATTGAAAAGCTCGTTGATTTTCGTGAGATTTGGTATGTTTTTGTAAGGCAGAGCGACTAGTGAAGGCAGCAGGGCAGACTGAACATTTAAAAGGTTTTTGTCCAGTATGGGTATTGATGTGACTTTTTAACTGGTCTCTATTAGTATAAGCTATACCACAATATTGGCAGACAAAAACTTTTCGTTCCTCTTTTGTTAGATGTCTTTGAATATGATTCCGTAATAATCGACAATTATTAAATTCTAAGTGACAATGTGGACATTTTTTGGGGATAGTTGTATCCCGAGAATGTTTCCAAAATAGAGATTTATTTGGAAAACTTTCCCCACAACCGCCACAAAATTCCTGCTTCCCTTCTTCATGTTCGTCTTTTAAATGTTTGAGAAAATCAGAACGGCGCGTGAATGATTCTGAACACTTGAGGCAAAAATGAGGTTTTTCTCCAGTATGAATTCTCAAATGTTCAACTAGAGATACTTTGAACTTAAAAAATCTACGACAAATTATACATTGCAAACCATTTTCATCATTAAAATGTGTCTCACAATGACGAGCCAGTTCCAATATGGTGGCATGAGCACTGTTACATTTAAAACAATTTAAAGTTTTGTCATCTGGATGCTCGAGATTAAAATGATTGGTCAAGTCAAATATAGTATCAAAAGTTTTATTACATGTGAAACACTCGCGTTTATGAGCTTCTTCGTGGAGTTTCCATTCTTTCATATCTCTAAATGTTGAAGGACAAAACTTACACTGAATTTGTTTACAAAATTTCATATGGAGAACCAAATACGCCTCACGTAAATAACTTCTATTACAAATGTTACATTCATATCGTGTTGGCTCTTCTAACTTTTGGTCAGTTTTGCTGTTGAAATCGTTGTGTTTTGTATCGATGTGTTTTAGTAAAATATCATCTGTATTAAAACTTAATTGACAGATGTCACACATATGATTTTGTTTCATGATATGACGTGTTAAATGACGTTGAATATAAAAAACCTGATCATCACATTCCTTACACTGTATCAGATCTCGATTCTTAGTAGATTCTCTTCTTATCTTGTTTACCATCTTTCTCTTTTTCACTGAAATATAGAATAATTCATGACACTAAATTTGAGACAAGGGTCAGTGATGGAACTTAACAAATGAGGTAATTGATGAGCACCTCAGCTCAACTTTCTTATTTTAGAGGGTATTATGCACTATGCCCCCCTCCTAAATTAGCCACTGTCTCGAGAATTTTGCATCCAAAACACGTCAGCAGCATCAGATAGAATTTTATAAACACAATTTCTCTCTAGACATAATTATATTTAATAACAAGTTGATTTCTTAAAAACATAATATCCTTCTTAACAAAAATCTTGTAAATAAAATTATATATAATAATTTATAATAATATCGTAAATATTACAATTGTAAGAACATCCATAATCATTACTTTCACTAGAATCCTATACATCCAATTGTTTACCTACATGAAATGTAATAATTAGATAATACACATGTAATATACATTTAAGGCCATTTCTGTTTCCAGGTTAAATTTGTTTGATTTGTTCTTACACTCGAGTATGACTCAGAACATTAACAAGAGTAGTTTTAGAATTAGATGTATAATACCAGTAAGCATATGATAAGCAATAATAATCCAAATTTATGACAATGTTTTCTATTCTTATCTCAAAATAAAGTGGATTATTTGTGTTTATATGCATTAATATCTTTACTCGACCATACTTGTAATAAGCTTTCAAGGTGTCAAGCATGAGGTTCAAACTATAACCACAAATTATTCCAAGCACCTGTTAAAATATTACAAGATATATTCATATTATTCACTGTCATGTTAAACTAGAAGTAATTTTGTTGATGTTTTTTCACATGATCATTCAGAATCCCACTATACATAAAATCTTTCCCACAATATTGACATTTATAAGGTTTGACTCCAGTATGAATCCTTTGATGAACTTTTAAATTTCCACCTTGAGTAAAGGCTTTATTACAGATATTACAGTGAAAATCTCGCTGAGCACGATGTGTTTTCATGTGTCTTTTCAGATGCATATTAGTATTGAACTGTTTACTGCAGATATGACATTGAAATCTACGTAAGTTTAAATGAGAAGCCATATGCTGCTTTCTACCCATATCTGTAGTATAAGACTTATTACAAACATCACATTTATAAGGTTTGATTCCACTGTGTGTAACCACATGACGTTTCAATGTTCCACTACACGCAAATAATTTCCCACAAAGGTCACACACATATTTTTTACCAGATACGTCCGTCATGTGTAATGATCGTTTATGAGTCAACAGATTACGACAACAAGTAAATGTCATAGTACATTCATTGCACGGCTTTAACGTGACTTCGTCCTCAATTTGCTGATGTCTCTTCAGCAGCCATTTTGTTTTAAATATGACCCCACAGCCACCACAACGACCTTTGTTCTCACTGACAATTTTATGAATGACGTCATTATGTTTGATGAAGGCTTGAACTGTCTTAAATCTCATTGGACAGTTTGGACAAGGAACTTGTTTATAAACACTGTGAATATGTAAATGATCGTACAATATATCTATGGTTGAAAACTGTCTATGACAAACAAAGCACACATGTGCATTATCGTCGTTAACATGTGTCCCATAATGCTCTGCTAAATCAGAAAAAAATTTAAAATGTTCGTGGCAGATGGGACAATGTAAATATTGTTCATCTTCGTGTATATGATTTTGATGAATATCCAGGAGCACCTTTTTGTCGAATGTCTCGTTACAGATCAGACAATGATATGGATGGGTTTCTAGATGTTTGATATGATCGTTTCCATTCGAAAAATATTCTTGACAATATTCGCATTCATATTCCTTATTGTGATGTTCGGCACTTCGATGAGTTTTCAAATGAAATAAATTAGTGAAGATTCGAGGACATCCTCCACAAATAAACTTATCATCAATATTTGGATTGGAAATAGGTTCGTTCCTATGTTTCAACTGAAAATGTCTTTCCAATAAATTTTGTCCTTCGAAGCTGAGACCACAGTGAGGACACAAGTTAACTGAGTCGACTGCATGAGATTTCAGATGGTGGTTAATTCCCATTTTCTTGCTGAATTTTTCATTGCATTCTGTACATTGAAAATTCTGTCCTTTCCTACGGAACATTTCTCCCTCTTGACTGGAATTCTTTTTGGTTTTCTTCAAATTAGTCTCTTTACTTGACTTGCCTGAAATGGAGAAAGTCAAATTGACAAACAGACATCTCAATGATGATTCAAAATATGTGGGATTTTGGTCTTTATTTGTATAAAGTTCAAATAATAAACTTATGCTATTCAGACCTTAATAAAAACACTTAGTAAGCAATATTTTCAAGTGGAGTGGATGTCAATCACAGATTGTCATCATGTAGGTGAGCATGCCCTGCCATATAAGCAACACCTAGCTATGAATTTATTCTTTATCATGTTTAATAATTTCTTTAAATAAAATTTTGAGAATAATGAGCTGGTGTAATATATATGTATAAATAGACCAAGTACTAACAACCTGAACCACAAAACAAAACCAGAAATCCAAAACAACATAATGGCAAAACATAGGTAGCAGCTAATGAATTTTTTAACATAGGAGTTATCAATTGTAAGTGACATGCAACATCACAAACAAAAGTCAAGGCCATAAAGCTGTGTAACTGCGACCTTAATATACAGTTGCCAAAAAAGATAAAAAGTGTTAAAAATCTATATAGCTTATTAATAAATAGAAAATACTAAGCTTTCAACTGACCTTTTCAATTTGAACTGTAGGATGATCTTCAGAGGAAAATTTAACAGAACAGCTTTTAAAAATCTTTTTAAAAAACGGTTTTAGCTCATTAGACGATGACTGGTCGCAGTTAACACATTTCTATTTTTCTATTTACTTCATGCAGGACTAACACTACAAACACTTAGTACTTGGGGGTGAGATTAGACACAGGATCGACTCTCAGAGGCACTGGCACAGGCTCCTTATTGCCTAACAGATGACAATCCAACTCACTAACAACTGATCTATTCCACTGTCACATAAAGACAGTGTTCCAATGACGTTGTTAGCAACTATATATTTATAGAGCCTGGTATGGGCTTAGGACTAGGGAAATTTTATATTGTGATTAGGGCTGCAACTATTCACAAATGAGATGCAATCGTTACCATTAGATCTATTCATTGCAATGAATAAAAAGAGTCTTGATACATAGGCAAAGTAGTTTTTACAAAGACAAAGTTCAATCATAATGGAATTACCATCAAAAATCTGTTAGAGAGAAAGGGACTAAAACTAGTATTAATTTTATACTGTTAATTCATTGACAAAACAAAATTCATATTCAACAAGGGTTGAACGACAAAAGAACCACAATTTTAAAAAAAGATTACTAAACTAACCTTTAGGTTCTTTGGGAGCATAAGCCTCAGCCTCAGATCGGGCTGCATCATCTGCTTCATCATCATCATCATCATCATCCATAGTATAATCAACATCATTCTCATCATCAACGAAATCATCATGATCATCATCCAAAGGATTAGATAACTCTACATCTTGAGGTTTAACAACCATGAAATTAGTCACTGTACCATTGTCGCTGTTTAAGATGGAATGATTAGCTGTAGTTTCTGGTGATGCCAATCCAACATTTGATAAACTTGGTAACTCAGGTATGATTATCAGCTCTTGTTGCTGGTCTTCGGGAGTTGGATTTGAAGCTGCAGCTACATCTTTATCACCTGCAATATCCATCAAGTTGTTACCACTACCCTCCATACAATGAACATCCATGCTACCATCCTGATCAGGTTTTTTATCAGCATCACTGATACTAGTTACTGCTTTGACTGATCTCTTGCTGGCAGATCTTGTTGTTGGTATTTGAACTAATAAAGTATTGGTCTTTTCTTGCTTGATGGGTGTTTTAGGAATGTGATCTCCCTCTGAAAGAAATGTTTCTCATTAGTGAAAACCTAAAAAGCAAGAGAATTGGAAATGTTGTAACTGGAAAGAAGGGTTCAAGTCAATCACCAAGAATAAAACACTCGAAATTTCTTCTTTCTTGACAGAGATTCAAACTTAGGGCACTTCATAGCTGTTCAGAGATATGATGCAGACAGCTGTCCAAAACAATTACAGTGATAGGAATTGAAGTACATGTATTCAGAAAAAGCAAATGAAAATTTTTCACGACATTTAGTCATTCCAAGCTTAATTCTACAAAGTTACAAATGGAAGAAGAATATAAAAATTACCATGAAAATCTTCTTTTTTCTCTGTTTTTATGATAACTTGTGTCTGCTCAACTACAGTTGAATCTACAAATCAATGATAAATAATTTGCATTAACTTTACAAACAAGTAGACTGTAAAGTCTGTAAGCTCCCAGGAGCAAAAGACTTGTACTATTAATGTGCTTACTATGGCTCACTTGTTGTTCATCTGTTGCAAGACTGGTTTCATTTACAGATTCTTTTAAATATAAAATAAAAAGAATATATAATCCTATGATATCTGTACCTATTAATTTCTGTAAAAACTCCCTCTCTTCTCTAATCAGTTGATTTAATTTAGATTTCCTTGTATTAACATCATCATCAGTGCTACAGAGTTCATTAGTCACCCTCATAAGACTACTGAGTTCAATATATAGTTTACTAATAGTCCAGTTATTATTGACACTGTAATGTCTTTCTAACAGTTCTATTCCACGTAATCTACCCCTCTTCTTCATTCTCGTCGTCTTTTTTCAGTACCTGACAGGACCTAAAATGAGATAAAGCATTTAAGCCTATGGACCATGATCACACTTTACACTGGCAATGCAGTGGTCTCCTTCCTTTTTAATTCACTCAATTCGAGTTCTGGGGAGAAAACGAAATTCAATTATTGCGATAGAGGTGAGAATTGATAGAGATGAAAACCACTACCTACTGGGACAAGAGCATGGGGGTGGGAGGAGATGAAATCACCTGTAATTGGGGTGGAAATCATCGAAGGTGGGCACCACTAATGGGATGAAATCACTAAATTGAAAAGGGGTTGGGAGGGGGAGGGGGGGCACAATCACTTTAAGCCAGTATGGCCTTCACAGTAGCCTAATCAACACGGACGCTGATCAACTCAACAAACTCAAAAGCCAGTCAAATCAGAAACTCGTTGACTGTGGACGTGGGACACTGTTTCCATTCAAAGGTTCCCAAATTTTAACCGATGCTGGAAAGATTTATTATCCAATCTTTGCAGATCTGGGACCAAAATCTTCAAGGGTACATTTACCTGCAATATTCTGTAATATTTGATATGAAACAGAAATAGTTTGAGCGAGATTATTATCGCTTTTCCATCTAAAAACAAGCTATCAGTCTCAATTATCCAGACATTTTGATGAGAGGAAATGTAATAGGGTGACTGGGTAAATGAGTCTATCTTGGAAATATTAAAGGGACTTAACTTTTCATAAAGCAGACCACAATAATATCGTAAATCAATTAATCCAGAGAAATTGAGTCTTATTTTTTCACAAAAGAAACAACCAGATTTTGTGACTTTTTTGAAAGCAGAAATTCGCTTTTTAGCTACAACAGTCTTTGTCAGAAAAATAACGACAACATTGGCCGACTGTTTTTGCTGGCATGTCTATGCCTGTGCCAGTCCCGTCTGGAGTCGGTGTGGTGTGTCTTTCATCCCCTAATACCGAGCCATCTCCAGTTACCCATTAGAAAGTATTTCAAAGAAAAGTTTATTTAAAAGGGCTACTGGGGAACTTTAAAAAAAAAAAACAACAATATATGAGACAGCTTTTTTTTATTCAATTAGTACAAAAGAGAAAAGAAAACAACAATTATATCAGTAACAAAATAAAAAAACAAATTCTTCACAAATAGTATCACAGATTTCCAAAACAATTACATAATTTATAACATAAAACCAATAAGACAAATTTATCTTAGCATTCTTTTGAAGACATATAAATAACAATGATTAACGTCCAATGAAGGCTTCAGGATAAAAAAAAGGGCGATGCAAGAATGGCTTTCGAAAGGCTATCTTTTTGGACTGAAAAAATAAATAAAGTATCACAGAATTTCAAAACATTAATAATTTATAAAACTAGATCTAGACAACCCACAGAGATATTAGGTCCAATATTAAATTGGATAAAAATACCGGTACTTTCATTTATTTTTTAAAATTTTGCACTTTGTAAATAACAGTGAATGACCTTGTAGGTCAAGATTTAATGAGAAGCTTTCTGGGCAGTTTGATAGTCCCCTGTCACAAATAAATATGTCATTAGAGAGAAAATTTTAGGGTCACACAACTGTATTTTTTAGGTTTCATTATAGGCAGCCCCATTGTTAGGGTGGGGTCCGTGGGGCCTTGGAACCAGCAAGTGAGAATTAAGTCCCAGCGAAACCTTCTTCAGTTCAGCAGAGATTGATTCATTTACAGTTTCTTCGCACAAAATCAAAAAGATATACATGTAGATTGTTAAAATGTCAAAATTGTCAGAAATGAGTACTCTGGGTACAAAATTTGATCCCCAGCACCAATTCATTCTAGATTATAGGTGAGAGGTTTTGTATGTAGAAACTGTAAAATAGGGCCTACTTAGTTTCATAGATATACTTATATAATATATATATATAGAACATTTCAATCGGAAGATCTCAATCAAGACTTAAAAATAGCAGGCTCAACATTGTCCAGGATTATAAAAAAAATATTGTGCAAATTTTAAGACTTCTATTTCTACATGTGTGTAGTTTTGTCCTAATTACAAGTAGATCTATAAGTGTATATCAGATGTAGATAGTCTATAAGATATAGGCTAGTGATTAATGCTTTTGCAGATCAAACTTCATAGACTTATATTAGCTCTCCCCACAGAAGAAAGCTTATTGCTTCACAACCAAACATTAAGATCAGGGAAGAAATGTGCTATGATTGCTTGTTAATCGTAAGTGGGTCGAAATCCAGGTTTGCTTGATCCAGCTCCGAATTCCACAGGAGTATCATTGCCTATTGCCCTTCTTGATCTCGGTATTGACCCTTGACCTCCAGTTAGCGCCCGGTACATGGAATCATCCTCTTCATCTCCAGTCAACGTGATGTTTCTAAGATTCGGCATCTCATTAAATGGTAAATAATGTTCCCCTAAAAGATGAAATCAACAAAGATCTGTAGGCTTAGAACAAACGTAAATGACTTACTCTCCCAACAAAATCTATTACGTTCTGTTTTTACTTTATTTTATTTAGGGTTCTGCAAATTCAGATGCCTCTCGGCATCTAGATATCTAGAAAATGTCGGAGGGATGGAGGGGCAAAAATGAGAGGTATCTCTCAGGGACTAGGCCTTTGAGGCCAGCGGTCTGGCACAAGCCAATGGATTTCAGATGGCCTGATCTTAATTTCCACCTAAAAATGAGACCTGTCACAGACCTGAGAAGAGGTGAATGCCACTGCTCGGGTATTGGGTTTGTTCCTATACTACTGTCTCCTCTCATGAATTTACATACCTATTGGTAAACCATTCTGAGCCCTCATGTCTTCTGTCTCAAAAAATGTTTCATGGACCTCCCAATGTCGATCACAAGCTGCACACAGAAAATCTGAGAAAAATCTTCCACAAGAGCAACCTGCAATATTGAAAACTATATACGTATTTCTGATGGTGTAATAGTTGCAAACCTCTCATCACTTATCTGGGAAAATTTTCAAAAAATTTGAATTGATTTGGTGCATTATGACACATATTTTGGGGCAAAAACACAACAAAAATCATATATTTTTCAATTAAGAAATATAGTTTGGGCACAATTGTTGAAGCAGGTAGGTTGGGGCACAATTGTTGAAGCAGAAAGGTTGGGGCACAATTGTTGAAGCAGATAGGTTGGAGCACAATTGTTGAAGCAGATAGGTTGGGGCACAATTGTTGAAGCAGAAAGGTTAAAAATATGACACTGTCAAAATAAATGCTTCATACCTGAAACTTTACATCTATGACTGGTATTAGGATCGTGTTGTTCATGATGATGTTTACATTTACATTTAGCTCTCCAGGCACTAGGATCAAAATCTCGTCTTCTCTGGTGCCAGAATTCTCCAATTTCTTCAGGTCTTGCTGGAATCCAGGCATAAGCTTTACATGGACATTGTTTACAGGGCACCCTGACACTTTTACCTGTATGTAGAAATTCTATCAATATACTCTACTGTTGGAGAAAAATTACAAATCATTAAGTTGGAGGAAAACAAAAAAAGATGCAGAATGTCTGTCTGACCAAAAATCTTGATCTTGTATTTCCTAAAAATAATGTTGTATGTGATCGTTTGCCAAAATTGACTCTTCTTGCTCACTCAAGGGTCTTGTGTTTGATTCCAGCAAAAGTCAGATATTTTTGATCTTCGACTTTTCAACTCAATCTCTCCGTCAGTGTTGTAGATGTCTTCTTTGATTTGAAGGGTGTTACAGCGTTAGTAACCTGATACAAGATTCAAAGTAAACTAGGAATCAAACCTGTATATTTGTTATGTTCTGCTAAATAATGACCACAGAAACATTTTGATTGACGGGTCAGTCTCTGACAGTCATGTTTAAATTCTGGACAGCGCCAACCAATATAGATTCCTGTAACAAATAAAACAAGACTACTGCTGGATCAAATAGTACCAGGAATCCTGTCAAATGCATTTAAAAACTTCTGTGATACAAGAAAGATGGCTATTGCAGTCAAGGTATAAGACACAATTCCTAATAGTTTGACATTGTAAAGATGATCTATGACAAGGGTTGTGAATGTCACAGTAGGAACAGAATCCTGATCCTTGTTTCCATTTAAATTAAGTTCACAGGGAGATAACCCTACATAATTCAATAAATAGATCCTAATTTGATAGCAAAGAGTCTTCCTCTCCTCCAAAAAAGTACAAAACTGACCTGTGGTCTGGGCCTCTATTGCAGCTTCTGTTTCAATGTCGAACAACTTCTTCAGTCTAGGAGCAAAATCATCATTCATGGCTCTAGCGAACGACACCACATCATAATTCTTAGCTGGTTCAATTTTTCTCATAGTATAACCTGTAATCAAAATAAATTACTATCATTGAAGAGAATGCAAACTTCAAACCAATTTCTGTAAAAATTGTTTCCACTCTTAGATATGGGAAGGATGTAGCAAGCAGTCAAGGTGTTTTTGTGGGGAATTTTGGGGGAGTTCCACTTTTCTAGATAGGAATCCAGTAATATTGTTTAGAGGTAGATAACTGAAAAATGGTGTTTTTTTTTCAATATTTCCCCCCAAAAAAAAAGAATAAACCCAACTCACCTTCTGGGTGTAAAATTCCATCTACTTTCTTCATTTTGATTTGGTTTCCAGCTACTAATGGTGCCATTGCACGCCCTCCTCGTGGTACCACAGCGTTACTGGTAGAAGCATTACTGGGTTTACTAGACAATGCACCTTGTTTGGATGCTGGTGATTTCCCAGAACCTTGTGCCTTTAAAAATACAAGTTAAGGCCAAGACTAGATATTAATAGCACATATCTTCTTAAAAAATTTCTTATAAATCAACTTAAATAAATAAATCTGTCAAAATTAGAAATTAGAAAAAAATAAATGTCTTCCCTTTAATAAGCCTTAGAACTAGCCCTAGGACAAGTATTTGAAAAAATTAAATTAAATCATACTTTATTGGTTTTTCCGGGTGGAGGATTCTTTTTATTCATTTTTGTATCTACATGAAAAAAGAAACACAACTTTACAAGTAAGGGATTTTTTTCACGAAGTTAATAGTGGTCTGCTCCAGAAATAACTATTTATAGTTGTCTCCCTTCATTTAAAAATCTGAACAAAAGAGAATCTTATTTACGAAATAGAAATATTATGGTGCGATAACATGTATTCAAAAGACAATAAACTGTTTCGAGACTTAAATTCTACATTTAAAATTTTTTCCATAATGTGTAGATAACTAAGAAATTAGTAAATATTACCATTAAAGTTCGAATTCCAGCATTACTCATACATATCCGCCATTTGTAAATAACTTTTCGTCGTCAAGAATTCTAAAAAAATACCAAATTATTGAAAATGATGATTTAAATGGGCGTTTTTGTTTTGCCTCAAGCAAATAACAAGGAACAAAATATAAGAGAAATTTTGTTCAGTAAAATCCCTTCCAACAGGTTCTCGAATTCTGGTCACGTGAATGGAGTAATTTTCAAAATGGCAGACTCTTGGGGTGAGTAACATGTGGAAAGCCATATTTTATGTTATAACTTAGTAATTTATGAATGGAAATGTCTCAAACATGTACCTATTTATTCTGCAGATTCCGAGGAATTTACTGTCAATGATTTCAGTGTGAAAAAGACAGATAAATGGGAAGGGGAAGACGAAGATGACATCAAGGTACGTTCTTTTTGAAGTTTGGGTTTCGAATTTTTGTTCAGTTCAGTATCAAGAGAAGGGTCAGGAAGTACTGGTGTGATATTAACCATATGGTTGAGGGTTGTCACTACTCATTTTATCTGTTGAGTGTGGGGGAATATGACAATATTTTTCAGGGTGTACTCAGTACTGTGAACACTTCTGTGCTTTGTAGGCTAAGGTGTAAGTTGACTTTTTTGAAGATTGACAGGTTGTGGCTTTTTTGACAGTGTTATTTGATTGATAGGCTTCATCCTCATTCCATCTTTTCAAAAAAGAAAAATCTAAAAACATTCATTTATAAGATTTGTCACCATAATGTGCAGTTATAACTGTGCTATATATTGTAGACTACCATATTGTAGATATGTCATATTATTATCAACAAAAAAGCTTTCTGCTACTGTAGGGCCGAGATTAAATTTCCTTGTGATATTGTAGGATAGTTGGGAAGATGACGAAAGCAAGAAAGAAGTTCCTCCAGAAATGAAGGGTAGGCAAAAGTCTCTAGAAAAATTTTTTTTATCTCATAATGGCCAGTGCTGCAAATTTTATTTTTTATCAATAATTCAGCATTTCAGTTAAAGGCCCAAGATGAAATTATTTTGTCTTAAAGCAAAGTGTTACATTGTAAACTTTTTTTTATGGCATTTCAGCCTACCAAAGGCCTAAGAAAAAATCACTGGAACAAAGACTAGCAGAGAAAGAGGCTGCTCTAGCAGCAAAGAAAGAGGAAGTCAGATTAGAAATAGTGAGTTCAAGATCTTCTTTGTATTATATGAAATAGTTTGAAACAATTTAGCACATCCTTTCATATCTGTAGAACCTGCACATGAGATTGTTATTGTCCTGGAAGATGTGATTGTAGAAAAGAATTAATATATTTAAAGGGACCATTCCTTTTGACCAATCATACTTTAGTTTCACAAACGGTGTGTGGATAAATATTACATCCTACAGAATTAGCATGTAAATTTCATAATTCAAATATCATTTATATGGTTAAATTATAAAAACAATGTTTATCATGAACAGGAAGAAAAACATAAGTCCAGTACACCAGAAGGAAAAATGGCTGAAAAACAAAGAATTAAAAAGATGCAAGAAGAATCAGATTTAAAATTAGCAAAAGAAGCATTTGGTAAGAATTTGTTAAAAAAAAAAAATTTATAATCAAGCTAATTTGAGATAAGAAATTGTAATTGAACTTGATATAGCCACCTTTCATCATTATTAGGGAACCACAGTTGCTCAGTCGGTTAAACGTCTGATCTCAAATGTGTGGCATTAGTAAAGATAATACCTTTCAACCTTGTTCCCCCCTATTAGTGATGTAGGTGTGAACTGGAAAAAGTGTCCTGTCATTCAATTAACTGAGGTCTCGTGTGCTAAACGATATAATCATTTAGAATCCCTCGACAGTTGGAAATAAAAAAAAAGAGTTTCGCTGTCCTGACAAACTTTCCTCATTGAACATCTACATTAGTCCAATCAGGGGTAGAAAAGTAGGACTTAAAGTCCCCTTTTTATAATCTACAGGTATATCTAGTGAATTAGAAGCAATTTCAATAGAAACAGAAGAAGATTTTAAAAAATTAACCACTGCTTTAAAAGATAAAATAAAAACATTTGAAGTGAGTATTGATCCTTTGAACACTGAGAGAAATCTTAGTAAAATATATCCTGAGTTCCCAAGTATATTGCCTTGAATTGTATGATGGGAATTAAAACAGTTACATTATATACCTTGTAATTATCTTTCAAATTATCGTTTTCTTTTGAAATCCATACACGTAGTGATGATGTCTGGCAACTCACTGTATAGTTCTTGAACTGGCTCTTTAAGAAAAATCTTAAATTAGTCTAGTAAAATGGTTGGAAAATGACTATTTCCTTTTCAAAAATATGCTTTTGAAAAAGTGAAACTGCCAAGACATTGTTGTATTATCATGTATCTTGAAATATAATACAAATTATTGATTTTTTTATTTATTTCAGAAACATAGTTATTACCCTAAATTTTTAGAAAACCTCATACAAGACTTAGCCATAGATTGTAAGTACAAGTCTTTTATGTATAGAGTTATAGCCTGTTGGCTGGGTACAACTCGGACAGTGGTAGAGCCAAAGGGATAGCAGAGGGGTTATGCTATACACTAGGGATATTTCTCTTTTAAATATGTGATATAGGTTATTCTATTTATAATTTTAGTACCTACTGAAGATATTAAAAGAATTTCTACCACGATATCAAATTTACATCATGAAAAAGAACGACAAAGAAAAGTAAGATTTTTATTCTTTATTGTAGTTTTAGTGAAATTGTAAGAACCTCAGTCGTCTGACTGCAAATTACATAAAAAGTTAAAGAAACCTTTACAATCCCTTAATTGAAGAAGAATCTTGTTGAAATAATGATCTATTATTAGTTAAAACTAAGCACATGTTTCTCTGGATTTTGTTAACATATCAGAATGCCCCTGTAAATGAGAACCTTATTAAAATAGAAAATATATTGTTGCAGGAATTAGAAAAGAAGAAAAAGAAGAAGAATAAAGCTGTAATAAAGATAGATCGAGCTGATGATTTAGATCTGATTGGTGATGCTACAGGAAATTATACCTATGAAGATGATGATTTTATTTAACTTTATTAATATTAGGTTTATATATAACATAGTGATCTTGGGTCTACTGTCAGAAAGTTTGTAACTTACTGCAATGCATTTCTAGCTTATTTCTTTAAATATATGATTGGTCAATGATATCACTGTGATAACAAATCAACCAATCAGTAAATGTATTATTACTATTATGCCATTTCTTGTGTTAAATTGAGTAGCGTTCATTTCATACTGCTGACATGTGCTTTGGGTTTACAATCCTCGTCAAGGCAATATATTTGGTATTGAGATAGTTCAACTTGAAGCACATATGATCTAAGTCAGCATACTTTAATGTTAAATTAATTCTTAGAAATTTGATTGGCCAATAATTGCTCAAAAAATTGTCTTATTTCTTTTGGATTCAAATTTTTCTGTGGTGAATTATCTACTTGCTGTGCTCGTTATTTTTGTTATAAAAATATGAACTTGAAAAAAAAATATATTTGGAATTCACTTGAGTGAAAATGTCATTTGCGTTAAGCAGTAGGATTAGAATTTCAGCATGAGATTTCAGTAATACCTAATCTAGATCATTATGTTATATATATAGTACTCTTAACATCAGTGGTATACGCAAGTCTTTCTATTGCCGTATAATAATAAGTGACCTTTACCTTAATATAACATCAACCAAATCATTGGAGTAGAATTTCGCTTAGAGTGAATGTATGAGACAGCTTTAATAGCGGGATCTACAAGATTTTCTTTTCTCCATTGAACTCAAATCTGCATGTTTTTGTTGACAATATTAAGCTTTTAGTTCAAGCTTGAGCTGAAGTAAACCTTTAAGAAATTAGCACTAAGCAGTCGCAAGCCTTTTTAATGGCCATTACATAAAACCATTTTCCCAATTACTTCGTTAAAATCAAATTTTTCATAAATGTTTTGAAATTTGTTCACTATAGCTGAAATGAAGTTTGTTAATCTGCTCACTAGTAGTTTATCAATATTTTGTGATACCCATAAATAGGTTAGACAACTCAAAATCCTTTAATGTTTTTTGGGGTTATGTACAACGTTAAATAACACAACAGTCACAATAGAATAATGCATTATTGGTAATTTATTTATTTTAGCTAAAATATCAGTTTTAGTATTCAATTAAAATTATCCATATTTGACCATATTAATCTAGCCACATATTCTCCAAATGATCTTAGAGCTAGAATGTGCTAGAAACAGTGTTTTTCTTGAAACGATCTTAGTGCTAGGATATCTTAGGGTCTTAACTTCTAAAACTGTTTCTAAATTATCCTAGTACTGAGATCATTTCAAGAATACACGGCCATTTACTGAAATAACCTCGTAGATAATTCTTTATCTCACTTCCTGGTTTTAACTTCAGAATAATCAGTGAAAAGGACAAGTCAATGTTTTGTTTTTCCTCAACCTAAGTGATTAATAGTCAATATTTTAATTAAGGAAAATGGTGAATTTAGGGATTTCAATGGTTGTTTATTACCAGTGATAATTAAATCATGATAATCTCTAATTAATGATTACTTTCAACTTGTTAATTACAGTTATAATTACACTTCCTGGTCTGGAGGTCTTCATCATGAGATTTAGAGGTTTGTCTGTAGGTTTCTGCTTACAAAAACTTGTATCTCCAAGGTTTATTTTTGAACAAGAGGAATTTTTATTTTTAGGAATATCAATTTTGTGCCATGAATAAGACTGGATAAAGATATAAGGAAACAAAAATTACCCCCATTGTTATAAATGAGCTCTGCCTATATTACATATTATATGCATGTGTAGAAGAATTCAATAGAATATTGAAGGGTGACAAGCAAAGAACTGGCAAACTTTATCCAGCCTTTCATGAAGGAGACAAAACCAAAGTCAGATTTTCATTCTAAAAATTGATAGGCATTACTGGAATTAAATTCTATTAGATGGTAATATTCATAATAGAATATATACCTCTAAACTAGAATTATACTCAAGTTTTATCATTCAGTAGTGTTCTGTCACAGAGTTTGACTGGAAGATTTCAAAAGGTGAAAATCAAATGTTTATCCTGTAATTCAAGATGTCATGTTATTTCATTTGAATTTTTAAGATTTCGCTTGATCACTGATATTAATTTCTAACTAAGATAATTCTCTGTTTAAGACAATATGGCAAGAGACCTCAAGTTGAAGAAATAGCAAGGTTAAAATTGTACATACGAATTATAAATATTTCTTGCTCGGTTTCATTTCAATAAAATAATATTTAACTTGTATGATGTAAATTGTTGTGTTTATTGATCACAGGTTCTAAAACCCAACTTCTTGAAAGTTCAGCAACCTGTAGCACACATCGCCAACATCCAATTCAAGTATTGGTTGATATAATAAACCCCACCCATTTCTTGGTTGAAACTCATCTCTCCCGTAAATACGAAATTGAAAGATTATTTCTGCTGTCTTGAAATTTCATGATTTACAGAACAGCTCCAGATACTATTTAACAAGTATATGTTGGTCTCTATAGCATTATTGGTTTGTAAACAGAATTGATCATGTGACAAACTGAATAAATGAGTCATTTAATTCTTATATTTATATATTCATACAGTTTTCACTGTTTTATATGATGATTGGTTACTTAAATTTGCCACAAATCTTAGATTGCGTCATTGTTGTGCATTGACAACGTCATAGTGTCTTGTACAAACTACAGTTATGGAAAAATAAACGCCAGTTTTTGAAACTGGTTCATTGAAGGGAGTGACAGTAGAAATGTAAATATATTGTATTATATGTCACATAAACTTCAAAACACACATTAATTTAATAAAACAATTTATTGGGTGAAACACCACATTTAAAGAGGGATTAAAAAATTATTTTTGGTATTTTACTCTTTGACAAAGTTACAAAACATTTTAACATGAAGTAGTGAAAATATATCATTTATAATGAAATAGAAGCAGAGACATGAGCAATATTATTCTTCTGAATAGGTTAACAAGTAGCTCAGAATGAAAGCCTTAAAACTGAAAAGAAGGCAGTAGTTTATGGTTTGGAGCTAGTCTGAAGATTTCAGTTTTCCATATCTTCTAAAGGTTTTCTAAACTGTTATGCATATTAGAGACACTTTCAATTCCACTAGAACTAGGCATTTTATGATATCACTTTTGCAAAAGCCCTTAGATTTTTATTTTGATGAATTTGTCAATCACTTAGATTTAGTGGAAATGCAAGAGCTATAGACATCTGACTGAAAATTTGATTGGTGCAATTGGCTGCTCAATACACATAGAAAATTTAGAAAATTGTGTACATTAATCATATCAATAATTCCATTCCACAGTCTATAAAGTATGGAGTTATGGTACTTTAAAGGGATTGAAAAGAGGTTTTCTAAAAATACGTGTGTAGAGGACTCAGGTAGCATCAATTTGCACTGTTTCAATCAAACTTTGAGAAAGTTATGTCATTAAACACTTACTTTTAGCGTAATTGTAAGAGTCAAAGACATAAAAATAGAATGGTGCATACTGATGATATCAGTGTCCCCGATACACATTCACAAACAAAGTTTAGATAACCTCTTATTTCTCTTTAAAGTGGGCAGTTCAATTTTCTGAAGTTGAGTTGAGTTTACATTCCACAATATTTCTCTAACAAATAACAGAATAGAAGATTAAAGTCAAGGCAAACAATGACATAAAAACATGAAAGAGGTGTCTGATTACTGTTCATCTGGTTCTTCTTCATTCCAAGATTCTTGTAGTTATCAATGTCTTTTAATCATGTGTTATAACAATGGAAATCATTCCAGGTTTTTCAGATTTGTAAGTTTAGAATGTCACAATACAGTACTCCTACGAGATTTGACCTGTAGAATAGAAGTTTTTAAATCAAATTGCTATCATGTACTTCAAGTTGCACATTACTTAGTGAATAGTTTTTAGTTTTAAGCTTGAAGTTAGAAACTGATACTTTATAGAATTGTGTTCTTTAGGTAACATTATCTAGGTGGGAAGATGATCATTATCTGTTTAACTCATTTCTTTCTGTGACTTGTAATAGATCACATTAAAGGGATAGTTTCACCATTTTCAGGCGTTGATTACGGTCTTTAATATATACATGTTTAAACATTTTTCAGTAGTAGAAATGTAGGATAATCAATTAATTCTTGTTTGTAACCAGTGGCATTCTATAAAACATTAGGTGCAGGTGCTGAGCAGGGGCCACACTTTATAAGATGATAAATATTTGAATCTAGGGGGGCCAAATCTGGTTCAGCCTCTTTTGTGGTGGCGGCATGGCTCCCATCTGGCCCCCTCTCTGTAGAAACGCCACTATTTGTGACAATACTAAAAGGAATAATTTTCATGTGAATATAATATTACTTCAAAGACAATTATTGATAGTCTTATAGAAACCAGACACCCCCTTTAAATATTAATAACAAACAATAAAATATGGAAGAAAATAACAATTTCATAAATTAAACAGACAATTTCAATTCAGCAAAATATTTCATTGTCGAAAATTATAAGGGTAGGCCTAGTATTTAAGGTTGTAATATGTTATTAAATTCGCTAGCAGACTCGCGTAAAGGATATAAACTTATTATAGCAATTGTATATCATATCATTTAACAAAAAACAATCTCTAAATGGCATCATGAGCTCTAGAATGCCAGGAATGAATTGGTGCTGAGGCTCAGATTTTGTACTCAAAAAATTTGAAGAATTAAATGCCAAGAAAACTCATTTCTGACAATTTAAGGTGCCAAAAACTAACCAAAATCTTTATTTCTGACAATTTAAGGTGCCAAAAACTAACCAAAATCTTTTTGATTTTGTACAGAGACACAGTACATGAATCAATGTCTGCTGAACTGAAGAAGGTGTTGCTGGGGCTTAATTCTCATTTGCTGGGACCCAACCCCCACGGCCCAACCCTATTGACGGAGTTGTAGCAGACACGACATAATCTTAGTGTTCATTAGAAACAAAATATAGTCTATTACTAGACTGAATAATAAATTTCTGGGTTTTGGTAGAAAATTATTCAGTGCTGATGACAAATGAGTAGCCTATATTTCAAATCATTCTTGCAATATTAATTTTTCTTTTAACAAAAACAAAACATCTTAAACTATACATTAAAGTAGCTTTATATTTTAGCAACATCCAATTGATTAGGCCTAATATTTGTCTACTTTGTTTATTTTACACAATGAAATATTTTACTCAAGTTTTCAAAATTTATATACAAATACATTACATTTAATATTTTAAAGATCTATTAGGTTCAAGTTGCAGCAGATCATGAAAGGCAATATATTAGATTATAGGTTACAGATTTTCCTTCAAAGTTGCCCAGAGGAAATGCAACACAATTTTAGATCATACTTTGCTTTACAATAGCTTATGAGCATATCATTTTTTCCCTTCAGAATATGTAACCACCTATGAAAGGAAGGCAGTGAGTTATTTCTTTTCCTTACAGCTGATAAGGGGAGTAACTCTGTTGATCAATCAAATAGTTTTCTCCCTTTACTCCAGCCTGTAAATAATCTGAATAGGAAGAGTTACAAAAAGCAAATGAAACCACTGAATGCTTTGGTTGAGTTTTTGTTTTCATCGAAAACAATATCAGCAGTTATCCGCAAAGGGTTTCCTTAAATACGGAATTAATCAGGTTGTAAAAATTGGGGACAGGGAAAGGAAAGGGGTCAACAGAGACAGGGTAAGAAGGAGGGAGGGGATTCAATGAGCAAAGGGAAACAAAACCTGAGTAGTTAAAAGTACAAGAGTAGAAAAATAGTGAAACGTGCAAAATATTTTATAACAAATCCTCAATAATATATTGAGTTACATCACAGGAGGTGGTAGTGCTATAATATTCAGGATCAAGGTCATGTTAGGATCAATGTCACATTATAGTAAGGTCAATGTTACAACTAGTTAGGCCTTAATTTCGCTTCAATGTCAAGTCAAGATCACAACTAGTTCAATATCAACACCATGACTAGGTCAAGGTCAAGTCGCAACTAGGTCAAGGTCAAGTCACAACTAGGTCAAGGTAAAATGTAGCACAAATCTTCAAGATTTATTTTAAGTGTTTTGGGGTCATGAACACTAATGTAGGCCTTCACAGTTCAAATTCCAATTAATCTAGTAATGAGCTACATATTTTCACTGCTTATTCATTGGAAATATATCTGGAGAACTAAATAACCTATTTTACTTAGATGTCCACTTAATCTTGCACCTTCTCATCATACTACATGCAAGGAATAAACAAAATAAAAAATGTTGAAGACCTTTCGTCATTGAAAAGTTTCTTAAAATTGCAACAGATTTGATGATTTTCACTCTTTTTTATTTGAAATAAAGAAAATGTATGTATTGTATATATATTATATCGTATTAAATAACCCTTTAATGAATGGAATGGAAAATGGAATGACAAACATGGGAGGTGTTCTCATAGTTTAGAGTGGCGGCCCCAGCGAGGGTAATAAAGGAGAGACACTTGCCCCCCATCCCCTTCAAGAAAAATTGTACACCCACTTTATTTATAATAAATTTATAATATTTTTATTGGTTTTTGACACAAAATATGTGCCAGAATGCGCCAAATAAATTCAATTCCAAATTTTCATGATTTTTTTACACGCCAAATGAGAGACTTGAGACTATGATGTCTCCACGGAGTTGCCACACTTCCAATTTCAGCCTCAACATTATTTGTCCCCCTATTTCATCAGTCCGCCCCCTATTTGAACCCCCAGGGAGACTGGTGCCGCCACTGATGGTTTGTGACTATCTATCTTACGGATCTAACCTGATTTTCACTTATCAGAAATTAAAAAAAAAACACCTAGGTCTTTAACAATTTACCAAAGCACTACATGTACAATGACAATATAGACCGTCATAGGTCATGATCACCAGGTAGCTTTCTCTCAACATTCCCTCTACAAAGATATGGATAAGTAGGCCTGTAGTTAAAGGTAGGGCAAGGCCCTGTAGTTGAGCCCCCCCTTAGACCTGGGCTAGATACAGGTCTGCTTATAAATCATGTGGAGCAAAAAGTGTACAACATTGGAAAATAATGACAAAATTTAGGTTTTAGCATTTTGGTTTAAAGTAATATGGCCTATTAGGGTAAGTTTATGAAACTTTCTGTGAAATTATTGGTTAAAATTCAAATTGAATAACCAATCATGTTTTAGAAGTTTTATGTTCTGTTACGATTAGCTTAACATCTAATTTGATTTCTTATTCTGCTTTACGAAGACCTATCCACCATTCTCATTGGTTACAATTCAAATAGGAGAACCAATCAAGTTTTAGAAGGTCACTACCGCTATCCCCAGAATCTATCAAGAGGTTCCTGAGCAAATAAATATTGAATGGCTGAAATTTCAGCTGCACACTACAAAACCACATGAAACCATCCGTATATGACGGCATGTGACTTGTAAGAAAACATTTTACAACATTGAGAAAATGAATCACCGGTTTTAAGTTTTGATATTTGGGTCTTCCACAAAATACTCTTAAAGGGATTTAAAAGAGGGTTTTCTAGCCTTAGTATCAGGGGACAGTGATATATCTTCTGATTCAACGATCTTAATTTCTTTCGATGTCTGTGTTCATATGCTATGCCATTTGGTTTTAATCTCATTTTAAGATTACAGGCACCAGGCACCACAGACATTGAATGGGAAATCAGAATGGTGAAAATATAGGCTTTAAATGTCCCCAATAACCATGTATACATAAACTAGAAACTCTCTTTTTTTCAATGAATAAATACATGATGAGATCAACTGCTTGACATTGACATAATATCAAATTCTCAACTACTGTCAATCTCTAAGTCTACCATGAATTCTACATAGTGGTATCATGAACAATAACTCTCAAACTCTCAATTGTAATAAGACTTAATAAACCAGATCAAGGTTTTTCAAGTAAATTGGTTAAAGGGTCACTTTTTATACTTGGAATTCCACCTTGAATCATGACCACAGAATTCTTGTTTTTTTCTTAGTTCAATGTGCAAAATTATTAAGATGCCAGATTGGAGCACTCATTTCTTATTTTCATTTTTTTTGTGTGTTTTCTTCAAGTTCTGTTGTGCCCCATTTTGCAAGTGGTAGAGAATCCCTGTTATAGACTGTTGAGAATTTGATATAATGAACATGAATGTTAAGAGAGATTGTATTTAGATTTAAAGAGGTATAGTTGTCTAGATATATGTTTTAACAGTAGATAGCTCAAGAAATGAAATTCAATAAAATTCTGACATAAACTGAGTGGCTCTCAAATCAGAGATTACAAGTTGTATATGGTTGCCAATAATGAAAGTGGTCACGAGTCCCAAACGCTAATACGCTATTCTTATTTGAAACCATACGCAAGTTGTGATCTCTTTGATGTGTGGGCCATTTTAGCAAACAAATATTCCAGTAAAGTGAAAGCAGTAATAAGTTTCTACGCAGACTGAAATTTCTGATATTATTACATCAATGGCCATATTTAAATTATTCTATAAATCAGCTTTCATAGAAACTTCTATCCAAAATCAACCAGGTTTTCAAAGTCAAAAGCAATTTCTGTTGAAAATATATATTCAAACAACAATATCCCTTTAAAGCAAGGCCACATATCAACCTTAAGATTTGGTATTGGTATGATTAGTCTCTTTATGAGCAGACAACAATCTGGCAACAGAAAGGTTAATTTGTAAGCAGATAATCTGGCAATAGAGTTCATGAGCAGCTATGAGTCGCCAGATTCTTCTTCTGGTAGTTTGATTATTGGTATGGGATGAATAGCAGTAGGCTGTGTTGGTTCTATGGTTCGTGGGTAATGAATATCATTCCCTCTGATCACTACACCCTCTTCTTCTTCACCTTCAAATTCTTCTTCTTCAATAGAGTCTTGGGGGGACAGACGTCTGACTGAGCTGGCACTGCTATCACTGCCCAAACTTGTGCTTCGTCTCTCTGGAGCCAATCTGTCTCGTCTTCTCTCCTCCCCTAACAAGGGTTCCGTCTGTTTACGATGAAGGCGATGTCTATTGTGAAGTCGTGGGGAACGTCGAACACCTAGTCTGGAATAAGGCTCCCGAACAGGCTCGCTACGCATAAAGTCATTAAATATTTTATTAGTTTTTTCATCAATACTATAGTCTCGTTGAAGATACCGATCTCGAGATCCTCGGGAATGTGACTTAAAAAAACGGGAAAACACAAACATTTTACTGGGTTGGGCATTGTCTTCAAAACTGTCACCAGATGGCAGGTCTGATCTGGAGTCCGTTTCTGGTTCGTTTATAGATTCATACACTCTCACCGTTTGTCGGCTATATTCTCTACGCTTCTTAGAAGCAGTCCGTGCATTTCGTCTATCAAAATAAGAACTATTTCCATTTCTTTTGCCGCCGTTTGATTTTGATCCATCTGGTTCCTCTTTTGGAGGGGAATTGTGAATTTCTGTTGGAGAAGGTTTTTTCTCTTCGTCAACTGAGTCCTTGGTTGATTGTTGAGTTTCTAAAGATTTGTAGCCACTGTCTCCTTTCATTTGTTGAAGACGATGTTGACTCTCAGTCGTACTGTCGGTATTATCTGTTGTGGACTCGAATGATGTTGTGACTTCGTATCTGCTGGTGTCTGATACATCTCCGTCAGTTTCAATAGAATCAAAACTGTTTTCTGTACTAGTGTTCGGACCAGCTTTCTGTAATCTTCGTGATAAAATATTCCGATAATTTTGGCGTCTGTTTTCTTGATTTGGTGGGTGAAGCAAATTGTTGGCAGATTTTCGAGACCTCTCCCAATGAAATCCACTGTCAGTTGGATCACAAGTGTTTCCTGTGTCACTAGGGGGCTCTGTGTTTGATTCAAAAGACGTTGTATATAAAGTAGCGTGATCACGATCTGGAGATTCCTCTGGTGATGTCATATTCTCCATACGTATCGTATCACTACATTCCTCTTCCTCTTCCAAAGTAGTCCGTAAACTCCACAACTCGCGATATTTCTGAGTTCCATTTAGAGTTTCGGTATCATCACTTTCATCAGGAATGACTGATTCAAGGTCAAGGTCACCAAGATATTCGATTTGTTCCTCGTTTAATTTTTCCAAGCTTCCTGTATCGTTATATCTCACTTTACTCGAAAATGGTGAACCATGTTCAGATATAACTTCAAAATCTGAATTATAAAAAGGCCCTGTGGAAAATTCTGTGATTTTGAGCACATCATAGTCTGCCACATCTTCATAACTTTTCACTTTCCGAGTTTCTCTACTACACTGAGTTGGACTCACCGTTTCTAAACTTTGAGAATATGGTGGCTTTTGAAAAACAGAGCGATTAAAATTTAATGGAGGCATGGGTCGAATTTCTCGTTTAAAGTCTAATAAATCTCGGCGATATTCCGCTAGTTTAGCCGGATATTGATGTATTTCTGCCGACACCTGCGTAGTCCGTATTGACTTAATTTTGGGAGGTGAAGAACCGACAGTCACATTAGAAAAGTTATTAACGTCTGATAGGGTCGTGGTGGGTACAGAATTCCGATGTTTCTCGTTATGATTGATACATTGTTCTATGGTACTAACAGAACCATTAATTATTGGTGCTCCGAGAGAATATTGACGTGGTACCGACACTTTCGCAATTTTGGATCTCTTCAGGTGATGAAAGTCCCCTTCTGTATACCTGAAATAACATTATCAAAGAGTAATTTGAGGCTGTAAATTGGGTTTTGGGGAGGGAAATACTAGTTTCATTTCATTTTCCATCCCATATAGCCTAATATAAAAATATCAGTTTCTGCATATCCATTCCAAATAATCAGCACTAGACATGGCATCTTCAGATCTAAATTTGAAACAAATCTTTAATGTCAGTACATCTTGAGCAAAAATGGTATTTGGAATTAATGACTTTTCAGAATTGCAACTGTGCATGATAAGGTTGTTTTGGAAATTCAATTAAAAAATGTGCATTCCAAGATCTTAAAATGAAAATAATTAAATCTTCTCACCTTCTAAATTTTTTAAGGGGGTGGGGAACATGTGTTGGTGTGGTATGCTGGGATAAATTTTGAAGCTGAAAGGAAACTCGTCGAGCTCCATTGTGACCTTGACCATCATCAGACCCTGACCCTGAGACTGGAGACTGTTTCTCATGTTCGTCCGATTTTCTGTCCTTTATCTCACCTACAAATTATATCAAGAATCAACGAGTTTTTAAAAAAAATTAAGGATTGCTAATACGAATTTTAAATTTTCATAAAATATACGCTATTTACTGAGGTTGCCCAAATTTCTAACCGAGTTATCAAATTTTTGCCTGAAAAACATGTCTTCGGGGCTGCAAGGGGGGGGGGGGGGGGTAACCCCACTGACTGCATATATTTTGGGTAAAAAACCAAATTAGAAATTTTCCAAAATTCCAGAGTTTGTTTGACTGGGACAGATTTGTTTTGCCTTTACATAGGTGAAGAATTGCTTGTGAGCCTCCCCCTGATACAAATTCTGCAGTCCCTACTCAGTCACCGTGTCTAATGATTCATAGACAAAACACTGCCAAGAAGAATACAACTTACTTTTTTCAAAATCCGAGGTTAGTTTGGTTGTTTCTGTTATTTCATCAGTTAATGAGATTTTATCTTGACTTTTCTCTCCAAAACATCTACTGAAATACAAATTCTATTTTATTTTATCTTTAAAACATTTCTGAAAATTTGTAGCCTAACATTTTGTATAAGTGATTCTGCAGAGATTGGAATAACAAGCATACCCAATAATCAATAATAGTGACCCAAATATCATAAGAACAACTTAAAAAACTTTGGGCGAGGGGGGAGGTGTCTACAAGTCCTTAAGTTCCCAACCCCTAATCTCATTCACTGACAAGACAGAGATTCTCTAACCTTGACTAAGCTTACCTGAATTCTACGTTTCTTCTAGGACTAATAGGAACACCATCAAATGAGGCACTACTTGGTTCAGATAGACCATCACACGTTACGGTTTCATATCTTTGTAATGGAGGAAATCTTCTATCAAACGGTCGGTCTCTTTCATACGAGGGGTACCTGAAATAATAACTTTTTATAATAAATAAACCTAATACTAACAATCTGAATCGCAAAACAAAACCTGATATGTAAAAACACCATAATGGAGAAATATGACTGAAACCAAAAATCTATATATCGTGTGGCCAAGAAAAAAGATACCACTTTATAAATATAAATAATCCCATCGTGAATATTCTGACATCATATTTACTTACATCAAAGACATTTTTTCACCAATAATAACTTTCAACAGTTTTTGACAAAAATGCTGTTATTTCACAGTGATTAATCCAATGAAACATATATTATTGTGAAAGGCAGTGTAATATCTCGCTACGTCTTAACTTTGATACTTTTAGAAAATTCGTGCTATAACCAGTGTTATTGTTTTTTCTAGGCTACCTGATATATATAGTTCTCAATTTCCATCAATTTTCATCAAGGTTGTTTTTCCAAAGTGAAACAAGAGGCTGGCTTTGTGATTGATGATTAACAGACATAATTTAGAAACCCAAGTCCAAAGCTAGTGGCAGTAGAACAGTTGATCATCCTCGAGAGTATAACTTAGCCTACATGAGATATCAAATGTTTTTATAAGCCAACCAATATTAAGGTGATGTCTTGGGTTTCTAAAAGCTAACAACAGTACAACAGTTGATAACCATTTGTACTAACTCTTAGTAGGTGAAATCTGGTGTTTCTATAAACTGCAAGTGATCCCTCTGGTAAAGGTAAGACACTAATATAACAGTTAACAATCCTTTTAAATATAACCCACAGTAAGGAGATTTCTCTATAAACTGACAATAGTAGCCTACAACAGTGGATCACCCTTGGTAATAACACTTAGTGTTAGGTGATATCTGATACTTCTATAAACAGACATTAGCACAACAGTGGACCACCATCCAGAATGTTACCCAGAGCTAGATGATGTCTGGTGTTTCTATAAACTGACAATAGTACAACAGTGGACCACGCTCTAGAATATAACCAGGGTTATGTGATGTCTGGTGTTATAAACAGACAATAGTACAACAGTGGACAATTCTCTTGAATATAACCCAGAGTTAGGTGATGTCTGGTGTTTCTATAAACAAACAATAGTACAACAGTGGACAATTCTCTAGAATATAACCCAGAGTTAGGTGATGTCTGGTGTTCCTATAAACAGGCAATAGTACAACAGTGGACCACCATCCAGAATGTTACCCAGAGTTAGGTGATGTCTGGTGTTTCTATAAACAGACAATAGTACAACAGTGGGCCACGCTCTAGAATATAACCCAGAGTTAGGTGATGTCTGGTGTTTCTATAAACATACAATAGTACAACAGTGTACTACCACCTAGATTATAACCCAGAGTTAGGTGATGTCTGGTGTTCCTATAAACAGGCAATAGTTAAACAGTAGACAATTCACTAGCATATACAACAGTGGACCACCCTCTAGAATATAACCCAGAGTTAGGTGATATCTGGTGTTTCTATAAAAAACAGTAGACCATTCTCTGGAATATAACCCAGAGTTAGGTGATGTCTAGTGTTCCTATAAACAGGCAATAGTACAACAGTAGACAATTCTCTAGCATATAATCCAGTTGGGTGTTTGGTGTTCCTTTATAGAGACAATAGTAGAACAATGGAACAAACTGAGAGTTAAATGATGTGTGGTGCTTTCATAAACAGACAATAGTACATCTGTGAATCTCCCAAAGAGTTAAGTTGTGGCTAGTATTTAGAAGCAGTATAAATATGTCATGTTGATAACCTAACATCATTTATCTTTAACGGCTAACATCAAAACTTCTGTCTTACATGATGAATGACAAAAATCAATTTTCTCAATTCAATTCAATTTTCTTAACAATTTCCTTGTATGTTCGAGCTGGACATGTCTTAAAACTTGAATCAAAATCCATGTTCTAAATCCACAATCAAAATCCATGTTCTAAAATCTAAAAGCGGAATAAAAATCCATATTCTAAAACCTGAATCAAAATCCATGTTCTAAAAACTAAAACCTGAATCAAAATCCATCTTCTAAAATCTTAAACCTGAATCAAAATCCATGTTCTAAAATCTTAAATCAAAATCAAAATCCATCTTCTAAAACCTGAATCAAAATCCATCTTCTAAAACCCAAATCAAAATCCATGTTCTTAAACCTGTATCAAGCCATGTTTTTAAACTTGAATCAAATTCCATGATCTTAAACCTGAACTCATCCAAGTTCTAAAACTTGAATCAAAATCCATGTTCTAAAACCCAAATCAAAATCCCATGTTCGAAAACCTGAATCAAAATCCATGTTCTAAAACCAAAAGCGAAATCCATGTTCTTAAACCTAAATCAAAATCCATGTTCTTAAACCTGAATCAATCCATGTTCTTAAACCTGAATCAATCCATGTTCTAAAACCTGAATTAAAATCCATGTTCTAAAATCTAACACCTGAATCAAAATCCATGTTCTCAATCTTGAATCAAAATACATGTTCATAAACCTGAATCAAATTCCATGTTCTTAAACCTGAATTAATCCATGTTCTAAAACCTGAATCAAAATCCATGTTCTTAAACCTGAATCAATCCATGTTCTTAAACCTGAATCAATCCATGTTCTAAAACCTCAAAATCCATGTTCTAAAACCTGAATTTAAAATCCATGTTCTAAAATCTAACACCTGAATCAAAATCCATGTTCTCAATCTTGAATCAAAATCCATGTTCATAAACCTGAATCAAATTCCATGTTCTTAAACCTGAATTAATCCATGTTCTAAAACCTGAATCAATCCATGTTCTTAAACCTGAATCAAAATCCATGTTCTTAAACCTGAATTAATTCATGTTCTTAAATCTGAATCAATCCATGTTCTTAAGCCTGAATCAATCCATGTTCTTAAACCTGAATCAATCCATGTTCTTAAACCTGAATCAAAATCCATGTTCTCAATCTTGAATCAAAATCCATGTTCATAAACCTGAATCAAATTCCATGTTCTTAAACCTGAATTAATCCATGTTCTAAAACCTGAATCAATCCATGTTCTTAAACCTGAATCAAAATCCATGTTCTTAAACCTGAATTAATTCATGTTCTTAAACTTGAATCAATCCATGTTCTTAAGCCTGAATCAATCCATGTTCTTAAACCTGAACCAAAATCCATGTTCTTAAACCTGAATTAATTCATGTTCTTAAACCTCAATCAAAATCCATGTTCTAAAACCTGAAACCTCAATCAAAATTTATGTTCCAAAACTTAAATCAAACCAGATTCAAAAACTAGGAAGTTCAAACCATGACATGACATGTTGAGAGAAATAATTCTCAAAATAGGCAGTCGTCAGTACAAAGAAATTAAGAGAAGAACAGAATAATAAATGACGGTTGAGGACAATGAAATTATTGCGAAAGTATTTTACTGTAGATAATGGTATAGAGTGTTATGTTTATAATCTTTCCAACATTATAGACATTTTAACGTTAATATCCATTGTTCCTAAACGACCTGATAAAACATGGTTAAATACCAGTTTTTAACAGCATTGACGTCATCACCATGTTTCATCAGACATCTAAATAACTAATAGTTCAATAAACATCCTAACTTCCTCCACGCTCATCAAACCTGTCCACTTTAATTTGATATTTTTACTTCATTAAATCCTTTCCTGCCTATGACGTGATAAAGCGTCAAACTTTGAACATCATAAGCTGAATGGAATCTATTCACGCCTGTAAGAACAGATAAAAACCTCACATACAATTGTTCTATTATAAAACATGCTAAATGTTGGTTAAAAAGATTATTTTTTGAGCAAACAGAAGTAAAATCATTTCTGATTAAAAAAAACATTTTATACACATTTCAATTTGTTTTTTTGTTTCTTTGATGTAGTTTTTAATTCTATTTGCATCGTTTCCGGAATACCATCGTGCATGTCTGGTGCCTGTAATTTCAGGAAAATTTGAACAAAGGGACCCATGAAAAAAAGGAAATATATTACCATATATAATTGAAGATTGATTGAGCAAGATCTTGTACAAATCAACATACCATTAGACAGAACGTGTCAGATGTAAATATCAGATATATTCATGCACAATCTCATCAACTTAACACTAAAAGCAATTCATATTCTAATGAATCTGAGTGACTATTCTCCAAGAGTCCTGTTAATAGTGACCAGATCACGATAGTCGTCTGACCTTCTTCATATCCTCCCTGATTAAATCACAGCGTTATAGTCCCAGGGCTATAATTATTATCATTGATTTTAATATCTGGTAGAATAAATTTACTGGAAAAGTGTTATAGGTATAATGGCAACAAGTCAAGAACTTTGTAAAGTCAGGTGGCTCAACTACCATAGGGATTGGTTGAACCAGGTCACGGGCCCTACCCCACCCCAAGAAAAAAAAGCAGGTGCGCGTTATGTTAAAAAGAAAATTTCACAAGATACAAATGCAAAGTACTAACGATCCAAACCACATGATGAAACCAGATATCCAAAATAAGAGCTTGGCAATTGGTAGCAGTTATGAACTTTTCATATGAAGAAATATATTAATCATAAATTAGGAAGTATTTCATGATGAAAAGTGGCATCAGGTGTCTAGCTGCCTGGTGTCACACCAGTTGAAAGCTTAGGGAATGAGAAGAAAAGTATTATATTGTATTATAAATTCTATTTGGTACATATCAATTGAATACTGTACGACCCATTATATTTGATTAATGAATACATTGACTTCAACTTTCTCTCAACTAGATATAATAAGCTAGTTCTCTGGTTCCCAACCTGGGGTGTTTTCACCCACTGGGGTTGTAGGACTAAGGTGTCAAGGGTGTGGCCAACTGGTGTAGGAGAAGAATTTATATAGTTGAGAGAGCACTTCACATCATCACATGCTGGAAATGTGGATGAAACAAATATTTGGGGCGTGAAAGGTCCAAGCGATTGCTCCAGGAGCTGAAATAGATTGGGAACCACTGAGCTAGTTCCAGATCTAGTAGTTTATTTTATATCCCATTCATATCTCTTAAGGCTTAATCTCACTGCTATCTTGTCACAATCTGTTAGTTAACTATTTGGACATGATATTTGATATGATAAAGGCTCCTGGTATTTAACTTAGATTTCATTCATTCAGACCAGCTGTCTGGGTTGGCAGGTTATTAAGAAACTCTCCATTAACTCTCTCTAACTGACAGCCT